CCTGGCAGCCCCGCTCGGGAGCGGTGATGGTGTGCGGACTGAGCGGCGGAGGAGGAAGGAGGAGCGCGCGATCGCCGTGGGCCGGAGAGGACGACATGACACGTCGTGTCGCCTCGACACGCATCGCTTGGCTTTATCTCCCGTCTTTTTTTTATTTATAAAAGCCTCTTTTGAAATCCGCAGTGCGTCTGCGGAGGCACGAGGGGGACCGGCTGCGATGTTTATCTTCTCTGGCCGAGACATCGATTGGGAGGTCCGGGGGCTCGCCGGGCGACAGGCGGCTGCGTGCCCGACATACGAGCGCGCGTACACACACACACACACAAAAACAAGGATCCCTCGTATAGCCTAAACTGTTGGGGTAAGTGCTGTTAGCGAGCACCTATGAAGGCCGACACGGCACACGAGGGGGTGGGTGGCCAGCACCACGCCCGGCCGCCTTTGTCTCCCCAGTGGCGATGTTCACACATCGCACCAGGATCTCATTTGAGGCTGAGTGAACCTAGGAGAGGCCCAGGACCGGTTCAGATAAGCGTCAATCGTGTTGGCCGTGAGCGGGAATCGAACCTGGTTCGCCAGGTTCGTAGCGCAGCGCGCTAACCGCTACACTACCGCTTCCCACCTACACCTACACACACACATGCACAGACACGTGTGCGCGCATGCGCACGTCCCTCCCGCGCGCCGTAGCCTCGAAGCACGGCGCGTTTGATAGCCGTTAATTAAACGCACGGCAAAGGTCTTCGTGAAATGACAATTAAAAGGCCGTATGCGGTGGTAATTGTCGCCCGAAATCGGCGTCGCCATGAAACGCACACAGCCATGTCTCCCGCCATGGGGGGGGGGGGGGGCGGCACGAGGAGTCGAGTGTGCGGCGGTTCACCGGTTCATGCCGGTGATGCCGCTCGACAACAAAGGACGGGGGTCTCCTCTGCCCCCCCCACCACCACTCAGCTTTGTGAGCTTGGCTCCTTCCTCTCAAAGTGACCGCCATATGCGAAGTGGGGGGGCAGGGGCGGCGGGGAGGGGGCGGGGGCAAGGGGCGGGGAGAGGTGAGACGTCCACTTCCACAATCAAATCGCATTTTTATTTCGCTCCCGAGATCCTCCTTCACCCTGTGTCTCGCAACGCCACTCCGGGCTGTGGTCCTGGGTCAGGGCGATGGCGCTCTCCGCCCCCGCTCGCTGCTGCGATCATCCAGATGGCGGAGCTGCTCCTTTTGAGAGGGCACGGCCGGGCCCAGCGCCGCCGCCGTTCATTGTCTCCAAATCTGCGTGGCTCTGACGTCGGATCCAATGGGCAGCGGCGCTGGCCTGAAAGGACGTCCGAGTGAGCGGCGGAGTGGCGTGCCGCGGCTGTGCCGGCCCGGGGGGGTGGCGTGACGGTTCCCTATTTGTCGTCCCGGCACCGCGGTGGGCGTCGGGCATTTTTGCGGCGAATTCGGCGGCCGGATTTTTTGTTTAAAAAAAAAAAATGCGTCGCGTCGTCGTCGCCTCCGCGCCGGCACGGCGACCGCGCCGCTCGTCGTGGTCGGCGCCGGGACTCTGCGCCGCTAACGAATCCCACGCGGTTGAAAGCGCAAATGAGACGAGAGGATTTGGTCAATTACACTCGAGATGGCCACGGGAGAAATGCGCGGAGAGTGTCTCTACCCCCCCCCCCCCCCATGGCGAAGCCTTCCTTGCACACGCGTGTTCGTCGTGGTGAGTGAGACCGAGCGACGCTGCGGCTGTCCACCGCTCCGGAGTCGTCCAAATTCTCGGCCATGGCCGAGGCAGACGACAGGGAGTGTGGCTGGGTCTCCCCTACCTTCTGGTTCCTCGCCAGGGCAGCGACGATGTAACGATGTTTATCGATACGCAACACGGACATGCACAGTTTAATACAATGCAACATATCGATGATATTATTATTCCCCCCGCCCCACGCCCAATTGTAAATGAATTAATTGACGTTTCTCCGTCTGGCGTTGTTCGAGATTCATTAGGAAACAAAAAGGATGTGGGTCCCTCCCCCAGATTACAGTGAAACAAGCGAAGGGGTTTTTCAAAAGCAGTCTGGGATAATAGCTAACAGCAGGGTACATCGGTAATGTGTGTTGACAAGTTTAGTGGGGCACGAAATTTTGAGGATTTGCTCAAAATGCCCGGGGCTGAGGGAGCTGCACGGAGGCAGCTTTGAGCATGGGATAGGACGAACGCAGACGTGGTGAGCGTCCTCATCACACAGGTGCTCGTCCACGTCATCACCAAAAAACAGCCACGGTCTCACCAAAAAACAGCCACGGCCTCACCTAGAAATTCACAAGCCAGGCCCACATCAAAACCCACAGCCTCGCCAGCACTCGTAAAGGCCCACCGCTGCATCTTCAACGCCTCCCCAGCACCGATTCATTTAGACACTCAAATGAAGGATGATGATTTGCATGTGGAGCGTGTAGCAGGGTACCAGGGTAGCAGGCCGGGTAGGCGGTGTTGTCAGCGACGTACACTTATTTTGTGAAGGCTCGTGTGAGCACAGTGATGCGTGCGTCGTGTTAGTGTTATATGTTCGTGTGTTTTGCTTAAGAGACGTGTGCAATTCTGTATGCGGGATGCGTGGACGTGTGTGTTTGGGAGTTTGTCCAGTGATGTGTGTGAAAGGTGTGCGGAAATCTGTATTTATGTGTGTATTTGGGCTATGTGGGTGTGTGTGTGTATGAGCGAGTAGTCTGCGGGGATGGGCCAGGGCACATGGATAAGGCTGATGCACTTATCAAGATGCGCATGTTTATCCCAGGAACATGAAAATTGCTCTGTTTATCCAAAATAAAAGGCAGCGGGGTTATTTGGACATGCGACGAGGCTTTTTTGAGAAGTCATTTCACCCCCATTGAAGCCCATGGAGTGCATGGAGCGGCTTGCCTGCCCATTTGAATCCTTTCTCCGCTCCGAGGCTTTGGCAATGTTCTATTCAAGCGCCCGTCATTTAGGTAAACAAGCGGGGCAAATGGTGTATGTGGAGAATGTTTTGTCGTGCAGCGCCGGGCGCCTAACAATGGGCGCAAAAACCCAAGCAAACATTCGGCTGCGTAAAAAACTCCTGTGTGGGATTTGTGTGGTTATCCCCCCCCGCGGTTGTTTGGCACGACGTCCGATGTTTCGCCATGTGCCGTCCGATGTTTCGCCATGCGCCGTTCCAGAAGAAGCTCTCTCTCTATCCCCCCGGGCATGTTGAACGATGGCATTGGACATTGGGGGGGGGGGGGGGGGAGGGGGGCCAAAATTGAGGCTCAATTCGGAGTTGGCCTTTAAAAAAAAAATTCTTTATTCGAGCGGTTGGTTAAATCGGGCTCAACGTCAAATAATAAAGAGGTCACTCGTGAATTAAAAAAAAAAACCCTTTTATTTCTTGGTGCCGTGGAAACGCGTACCCGTGGAAATGTATGCGCATACGCTTTCATTGCATTTGACTCGAGGAGCCAATTTGCGGGGTGATTGGAAGGGAAATGTTGGCTCTGGGCGTACGGCCCTCACTGGCGCCGGCCACGAGAGACGCTCGCAATCCTGGGAGCCGGCCGCCGCCGCCACTGCAGAGGAGCAGCATCGGCCCCGGCGAGACCCCCGCGCCTGCCAGTGCCGCTCAGCGCCGGTGCGCTTGACTGACAGACGCGTGAATGATTAATGGCTTTGCGCTGCACGGTCGGTGCGCAATGTCTTTCCCGAGGAATATTTAGTCCGTGTTTTTTTTTCTTCTTGCGGCATCAAGTGGGGCGTGCCTGGTCTGTCGCTTTGGAGGCGCGGGTTTTGGTGGATCACACACGTGGATCGGTGAAACCCGGCGAGCCTCAAGGAGGTTGCGGTACAGCAAGTGAATTCTTGAACTCGACCGTGCGTTTTTAGTGTTACCATATGCACATGGGTCTCCTCCCCGTGTGAAAAATTCTCCGTGAAACAGACCTGTCCCAACAAGCCAGTGCAGGGCCCTCCTGAAAAGGGTTATTGAGGCTCGGTGTGGGTTTTCTGGGTCAAAAAATCACATTATGAAAATGTGTGCCTTTTGTGTGTAAACTCCTCGTGCACTCTGGTTAAGCGGTAACAAAATGAACGGACAGGACATCGAATTTCTCTACGTCTCCCACAATAAAAATGCGATATTGTAGTAAAGACGTGTCCATCGGCCTCATGGGCTTGCAGACCAATTGTTACCAGCAGCGTTCGTTTAAATGACAAAAACCCTGGAACGACGTTGATCCTCGGCTTCTATTGTTGCATGTTACCCCCAACGTGGCAACCTTAACAGGTGTCCTGAGTGTCAGGTTGGTGGAAATGTTCTTGTTGGAGGGGGAGGAGTTGTTGTTGCCGCAAGTTCCTCTCAACACGCGACCTGCTGCGTCAGCGAAAGTTAATCTCCCGCACCGAGAGAGGCAGCGGTTAGGATTGGATTCACCGACTCTTGACGTGTGTAAATAATAGTTTGTTTCTCCAATTACTGCCACCAATAAGAGTGACTTGATGTTAAAACGGAACGAATGTTTAAGGTTACGAATGAGATTTCGATCGGCAACATTTAATTGTACATTTTTTCTCTCGCTAAATTTATTATGAGAGTGCGCGGCCAAAATTTTGAGACAAATAATCCGTTTGGAACTCATGAAGCGAGTGCAGACCGTCAAGGCGCCACACTTTTAATCACAACTCGCGTCCCTGTGGAAGTTGATGATGGCTCTCTGCGTAAGTCTTTGATATATGCGCCTACGAGCGAGTCTCCGTGTCCGTCTGCGGGTCTCTGTACAAGCCGCTGGTGACCGGGTTGAGAACATCAACCCCGGCACACTTGGGAAACCCACTTTGGTCACCGGCAGCGCCACCTAGATCCACACCACTGGCTGTTGGCGCTCTCACCGCCGAACCAGCCGGCCACCTTCCCGGCGCAACCGTCGGCAGCGGACGGTGTTTCTGCAAAGTTTTTCAAACCGATCGTGGCCGCCCCCTCCTTCTCCCCTCCCTCCTCCTCCCCAGGCTTCCACCTGAGCGGGACCGTGACGGACTCGGACCGGACTCTGCGCGTCGCGCTCAGCTTCGACCGCTGCAAGCTGACGTCGGTGAGCTGCGGCTGCGGCGAGCGTGGCATCGTGTACTGCGCGCACGTCGCCGCGCTGGCGCTGCACCGCATCCGGCGCGCCGAGCGAGTGCAGCTGCGCCTGCCCATCTCGGAGACGCTGTCGCAGCTCAGCCGGGACCAGCTGCAGAAGCTGGCGCAGTACCTGATCGCGGCGCACCACACAGAGGTGCTGCCCACCGCCCAGCGGCTCGCCGACGAGATCCTGTCGTGCGATTCGCAGATCAACCAGCTCCACGGTACGTTGGGCCCACGCGCCCCCCTCCCCACCCCCCCGTGTGAGGGTCGTGCCGCCGACGCGTTGTTCGGGACTGTGCCCGACATTTCGCTCCACGTGCCGGGAGCTTCTTCGGGAACCGAACTCACTCGGGTAGCAAGACGTCGGGCATCGGTGCCGCACGACACGTTGTTACGTCTCGAACCAGAGCACCGGAGGACGGCGATGTACAGAGTGCCGAAACGCGGCCCCATCCTCAATCGGCGTTGCAAAAAAGGACCTGCGTGTGTGTGAAAGGGGGGAGGTGGTGGGGCCGGGGCGGAGAGGAGAGCAAAACCGTGGCACAGCCCGAAACCAGGCAACCCGGGGCCCAGCAACCAACATTGAGCCCCATTGTAACCCGTCTACCGGAGGGCAGGTTCTTGGTTCGAGTTTCCTCCCTCCGGTCTGATCTTGAGCTCTTCTCTCCTCACTGAGCAGTGCCTTTTGTTCTCTGCCAAGGGGGTGACCAGGTGGTCAGGTGGTCCCAAGGTGGTCATATGACCAAGGTGCCTTTTTCCCCTCCCATCCATCTGGAGCTTGCTCCAGCAAAGCAGTCCCTCTGGAATACGCCTAATTTGGGTCCTTTTTCTTCCCTTTCTTCTTCTTAATCATTCTCTTGGTCTTTGACCGTAGCGACTCGTCATCTGCTCCGGCTCTTGCTGCCCCAATGCAGCGGGTGCAGCTTTCTAAGTTTTTGTTCTGCGAGGAGAAAACAACGGCGTACCGTGCACGGGCTCCGTCACCGCCGTGACCGGCGCCTCGCAGCAGTCGGCTTTGTCTCGGCTCCTCCTCACCGCAATCTGCGGTGTCGTTTTGCCCGGCCGATGTGCGGTCTCCGCCGCGTCCTCTCGAGCCTTCTTCCTTCCTTCCCTCTTTTCCTTCCAGCTGGATCTTTCGCCTCCTCTAAATTGTTGCAATTAGACGACTCCTCTCCACGCCGAACTGCGCTCTCGTGCCCCCCCCCCCCCACGACTTTGTTAATCACGCGCCCCTTAATAGGGGCCTTAACGACGTCCCGCGCAATTATCGTTCACATTCACGCCGCGGGGAAAATGTTTTGCCGTTGTATCTTTTTCCACTGTGAGTGTGAATGGCCCAATCACCCGCATGAAGTGCGCCCCCTCCCCCCCTCCCGTCCGTTGCACACGCGGCCTATTTCCGTCCGGCTTTCTGTCCCGCCCATCAGTGTCTGGTGGAATATACGGGTCGCCTTGCGTGCCACAATAGAAGCACGGTTAAAATCACTATTATTATTCTGAGTGCTGTAATGCTTATAGTTTTTATGTACGTGACGTGCGCGTGCATACGTGCCCGGTGTATTATTATACGTGCGCGTGCACGGTGTATAATTGTTTTGTCACCGTCGCCGCCAGGGCTTAATTTTTCTCGCTGAATGTTTTCCGGGCCGTTAGTGGAAAGGAGTAGGCGACCGCTTGACTGGTTGCCGCAGCTATGGCAAGAGGAAGGTACACGCTGGATGTGGCGGTTCCGGCTGCAGAGCTATTGTCTGGGTCGCCGAAAGATGAGCTTCAGAAAAAACCGGGAGATGTTACGGGAAGAAGAATATCTCCCAGTCCCGGAAGAGGGGAGAAGTGGGCGTGAACACGATGCCCCGAGTGGTGCATTGTGGTTACACAACTGACAAACATCGGGGACTTGTTACGTCCTTGGAGGACCTGACAGACTTCCCAGGACAGCAACTAGCTTAAACTCACAAGCGGGATGATCCTGGGAAATAGCAGGACAGGGTGACAACACGATCAGCGACCCGGACAGACAAGGTCTGCAACTTAGCCCTGGTAGCGGTGATTGTGACGGCCGATGGCGCCGCCGCTCTCCTGACCGCCGTCCCTTGCAGGGGCCCCGGATCCCACGGCGGGCGCCGCCATCGACGATGCCAACTGCTGGCACCTGGACGAGGAGCAGGTGCGCGAGCAGGTGCGGCACTTCCTGTCCCAGGGCGGGTACTTCTGCGCCGGCAAGCAGCTCACGTCCATGTTCGCCAAGGTGAGGCCACGGGCCGCCCTGCACCCGTGTGGCAGCTTCTCGTGTGACCCAGGTGGTCATGTGACCTGGGGTGGGGGGGGGGGGATGTGTAATCGAGGTGACCAAGGTGACGACTAGGTGGGCAGGTGATCAGCCGGACTTGTAGTTAGGTGACCAGGTGGTTGCATGACCAGATAGTTGGACGGAAAGGTGAAGTATGTGACCAAGTGGCTTCAATGGTCATGTGACTAAGGTGACCAGGTGGTCTAGTCACCTGGTTGCTCTGTGATTTTATGTGACCAGGTAACCATGTCACCACGTCGTCAGGTGACCTTATTGGCCAGGTGACACGATACTGAGGGTGGTCTCGTGACACCGTGATCAGATGGTCCAAGTGGCGAGGTGACCAGGCGGTTGGGCCAGGTGACTCGCAGGTTTATGCTCTCATACCCGGCTCGTTTTGCGAGGAGGCGTCGAGATTCAACTCCTGCTGCGTCCGCTCGTGCACTTTGGTTGCCAGGGAACGAATGACGAACGAGCATCGCCGCGCGCAGTTACAGCGGGATCTGAGCGATGCTCTTGTGTCGCTCGCAGAGGTTAGGCCATTGTGCGCTGTTGTCACAGCCCGAATCCCAAATGTGAAAATTAGCTAGCTCCCAAGCGGTAAATAAATAAGCAACGGCTCCTGTGGTACCATTGCTTATCCAAGCATCCTTTACAAGAGGGATAATGAATCTCAGTGGGCTGTGTAAGAAATAGCCCTTTCAGATTGCCCATTGAATGAGGGTATAATTTGAATAAATAGATCTTTGCGAACCCTGTCGCCTCACAAACGAATGCGTTCGTGCGAGAAGCCCCTTTTGTCCGCGTGCACGACGGAGCGCTGCCGAGCGGTTTCGCGATGTTTATCCGCTTCATGCCGCTCGTTTGCGTTCGTAAATTGTCTCCGCAGCTGAAACATTTTCGGAATTCGTTAACGGTCGGGGTTGCGAGCAAATAAATCGCATCTCGGATCGGATGACGATTCATTTAAATCGTCGACGCCGCCGTTTTGGGCAGAGCCCCTCGTGAGGTCGCCGATTTGCTGCTACTGCTGTCTTGAGGATAGTAAGAGCGGCCTTGGCGAGGTGCGGTGGCATGATGGGACTTCCGCCACGATGACATCTTGACCCTGAACGTAAGGACGCTGCGTGCGTGCCCGATCATTTAGAATTTAAATCGCGTGAGCGCCATGAGGTCCGAGCAAAATTTAAATTAAAAAAAAGGGTGATGGAGTGGTGGGGGGGGCAGGCCTGATCTCGGATCAGACGGTTTTCGGTGACGATGCCGGCAGCGTAAGAGACGCGCTCGCTCGCTCACGCGTGCGCCGGTGTCGTCGCTGTGTGGGCTCGGCTGCAGGTGCGGGAGATGCTGAAGATGCGTGACTGCAACGGCGCGCGGATGCTGACGCTGATGACGGAGCAGTTTATGGCCGACCCTCGCCTCTCAGCGTGGCAGCACCAGGGCGTGGCCAAACTCGACAAGTTCCGTCAGCTGTGGGACGAACTGGGTGCGTGCGAGACCCCCAGCACCAACACCACCAGCACCAACACCCCCAGCACCAACACCCCCAGCACCAGCACCCCCAGCACCAGCACCCCCAGCACCAGCACCCCCAGCACCAACACCCCCAGCACCAAGACCCCCAGCACCAAGACCCCCAGCACCAACACCCCCAGCACCAACACCCCCAGCACCAACACCCCCAGCACCAACACCCCCACTCCCCCCACGCCGCCCCCTCACCGGCCCCCCACCCCCGCAATCAGATTCGGGGAGAGCCAGCATTGTGTGAATCCTCGCCGCACCCTGAAATGCGTCGTCGTCTCGGTTTCGCTCTATTCAAACATCGCCCATCTCAGATGGGCAGCAACGAGACTTTTTTTGGCAAGTAAAGTTTGCTGCATTTCTTCGGGGGGTCGTACCCTGCTGATAAAGTCGAACCCCGCGCAGGGTTTTGTTGCTTAAACAAATGCTGCTGGAAAACGGCAGCGTTTGACGCAGCAGGCAGCGTTTGACGCAGCAGGCAGTGTTTAATGCAGCAGGCAGCGTTTAAAGCAGCAGGCAGCGTTTAATGCAGCAGGCAGTGTTTGATGCAGCAGGCAGTGTTTAATGCAGCAGGCAGTGTTTGATGCAGCAGGCAGCGTTTGATGTAGCAGGCAGTGTTTGATGCAGCAGGCAGCGTTTGATGCAGCAGGCAGCGTTTGATGCAGCAGGCAGCGTTTGATGCAGCAGGCAGCGTTTGCCGCAGCAGGCAGCGTTTGCCGCAGCAGGCAGCGTTTGCCGCAGCAGGCAGCGTTTGATGCAGCAGGCAGCGTTTGATGCAGCAGGCAGCGTTTGATGTAGCAGGCAGTGTTTGATGCAGCAGGCAGCGTTTGATGTAGCAGGCAGTGTTTGATGCAGCAGGCAGCGTTTGATGTAGCAGGCAGTGTTTGATGCAGCAGGCAGCGTTTGATGTAGCAGGCAGTGTTTGATGCAGCAGGCAGTGTTTGATGCAGCAGGCAGTGTTTGCCGGACAACGGCAGCAGAATGCCCTTTGGGTCGGTGGACATCATTGTTATTTGTATGTTTCGGTCGTGCAACAGACCCTTGTCTGTTCATTACTTTATGATTTGATTACCATGAAAACTGTACAGCTGGGGTAGGTTTTCCGCGGCCAATACCACACGTTGATCCGAGCGGTCTGCGGAGTCGCCACCCCCCCCCCCCCCCCCCCCCCCCCCCCACGGACTCGCTGTTCCGCCAGCGTCCGTGTTTACGCGAACGAACGAATGCATTTTGGGCCGCGACGTGCACGCGCGGGCGCGAGTTGTGACATCCGACCTCCCCGCGGCGACGGCCCCCGTGGAAACCACGGGACCTCGGGAGACGGGGACAGCTGGCGCCCAGGCCTCCTGCGTTAGCGCCGGCGTTAATTGATTGAGGCTCCCCCCCCCCCCCCCCCCGCCCCTCGTCATGAGCACGTCGCGTGGCAGATGCGGCGAGCTCCTTCTGTGCCGGTGGAGAGGCCGCGGCACGACCGCGGCCGGCAGTCTCGAACCGTGACCGACGAAGCGAATCCACGGGTCTCCATGTGAATCGCAGCACATTGTACCGCCAGTGCCCGCTCCAGAAGCCGCCACCAAACCCCGCACGGACGTCTCAACGTTACCAATCCGCACACCCCCGCCGCACGAGAGAAGAGGTGATGACGTCCCCCCTCCACCCACCCACCCCTCTCCCCCAGGCTCGCTGTGGATGTGCGTGGTGCTCAACCCGCACTGCCGCCCCTCGGAACGCGCCGGCTGGCTGCGTCTCCTGCGCCGCTGGGACGAGACGGAGTTCTGCCCCTCGGAGGACGGCAACCCCAGCGGGGACCTCCTGGAGCCGGTGGGGGCCTTGCCGGGCGTGCCCCTCACGGGTGAGGGCCCCCTCGCGGGAGATGCGCGGTCGCGGGTCTGCCGGCCCCATTGGACGGGCACTAATAATAAACGGGCAACATTCTAGCGAGATCGCTCGAGAGCTATAGACCACATACGCTGTTTGTGGTAATATAGGGGAAATATAGACGCAACTTGAGCTGTCGTGAGATGAGAGAAGAGAGATGCGAACAAGTTGGAGACGAATTGGTTTCTTGTATGTACACCGGCGTATTATGTTGATTTGGAATTTTTAATTCGAGCTGATGATTCATCCACCCTGATAATGTTTCGTGAATCCTGGGCCCCTTGCGCTGCTTGGCCGCTGTAAGCTTTTGCTCGGTCTGCTTGTGACGAGCGCCGCCACCGGGCACTGCAGTGCTCCGTCTCCACCTGCACCCCCCCTCTCCGCCCCCGCCCCCCCAAAACCCCCCAGCTGCTCCACAACAGTGTGCAGTGTTTTCAGGCTGCTCATGTTTCCGTGGAAGTGCCGGGGGCAGAGAAACAAAGCGAGGAGCCCTAACAATGAGGCCTGTGACAATTCACCTCTTCCCCCCCGCCCCGCCCCGCCCCCCCCACTCATCAATTTGACGAATTCTCATCGTTCGGTGGGGAGGGGCGAGGGGGCCACAATTGGATTCTGGAATGGATTCTTCGTTTGTTTTCCTCTCGGCCGTCTCGTTTGCGCTGCGTCGCTCGCTTCGTGAGCCGTGGTGGACACGTCGGCGTTGGCGCGCCCCGCCACTGTAGGTGGTGAATGATCGATTCCCACAATTCGACGCTTGTGTCGCGAGCGTAGTAAAACAAAAAAAAATCCATTTCAACTTGCGAGTCCGCGCGTCGTTACGTGCTCACCGCCTACACAACTAACACGGGTTGCGTTACGGCGGCCACGATAATTAATGTTTGGATTGGAGAGACGGTTTATGGATTTGTACCTTTTTAAAGATTTAATGACACCCACCCACAGTAAGAGGAACGCACGCACTCTGCATTTGTGAGCGTCTGTACATGAGAATCGGTTTGAGAAATGTCTCCCTCGGCCCTGTGCTCCTTATGATTGTCCCTGGCGCTGCTCGGCATCGGGAGCATCGAGTAGCTCCCAGTGAGCCCGACCCCGTGCAATAATGTCCGCCCTCCAACGCCCACCACTCCCTTCTCACCGCACATTGTGCCCCGTGCCTCCCTCCCTCGCGCCGACCGCAGATGGCGCTCGGCGACGGCGCACCGTCTTCGCCCGCGCCGTCGAGGCCGGGGAGCTGGACTGGCGGGACGCTCACCTCCAGAAGATCATCGCCGGGGACTACGAGACGTGTAACCATGGTGACCCGCAGCAGCACCAGCAGCAGCAGCAGCAACAGACGCAGCAGCCCCATCTGCTCGGAGCCCGAGGACGGCCGCTGTGGCATGGTGAGTTGGTGGCAGGAGCAGTCACGCACCACAGCCATGCAGCAGCAGTGCCTTGAGATACCACATTTCGGGGAGGCACAACATGACGAGCTGGTAGCCCCTCTCTCCGTCAGCACCACATGCCACACTTTCACACTCACTCCCGCCCCAGTGAGTGGCCTACCCATGCTCATTCTGCTTTGGGCCCCAGGCGCTGTTCATAGGCCCTGCACTCTGCTCGGGTGCCTCCGCTCTGTGCCCGTACCACGAGTTGAGCGTTAGGCCAGATTTTAAACCGGCGACAAAATCACCGGGACTTTGCTGACCAAACATGAACGTTTGGCGGATTTAATGTTGGGCCGCTCCCACCACCCCTTCTCTGCCTTCGCTAGCGCTGAACGGGCGATGCAAATGTGAATCTCCTTGTTGCCCATCCCCGCCCCGTCCTCGTGACTCCAGAGTACTTCCCGACGGCGTGCGCGCGCGTGGACGCGCTGCGGTCGCACGGCTACGCCACGGAGGCGCTGCGCCTCGCCGTGACCGTGGCGTCCACGCTGCTCTTCCAGCAGGAGAAGCAGCTGCGCGAGTACCAGCAGCAGCGCAAGGGTGAGTCCGCGGGGACAGCCGCGCCGCCGATCATCTGCGGCAGAGCCGGGCGGCGTCTCGATTACACGTGCTGCGGTGGCGAGATGTTATCCGCCTCGCCTGGTATGCAGGAGGTTGTGGGTTTGATCCCGACCCTGACGCCTGTATATTTTGAGTTTTCATGTTCTTCCCATGGTCGCGTGGATTTTTCTGTGGGTCCCTCCGGTTTTTCCCTCCACATTTCAGAAACATGCGTTTTTAGATGATTTGGCTGCTATAAATTTGCACGTGATAAGCCACTGCTTTTAGCTATCATTTGTGGCCAGGTTGCTCCTGAAGAAGAGCTACATAGCTCGGTGAGCCTTGGAAAACGCCGATCAGGGAACAAAAACGCAAACCGACGGAAGCGTCGTGACGTTTATGGGGACCCCCTTAAGGATCAGGTGGGGCCGGTCGCTCGACGTGATGGTGGCCGATGCGGCCAATGGTGACGGCTTGGGACAGCCTTCCTCCAGCAGTGAATTGATTACGCCGGATGATGACGATGATGACTATCTAATGTGCACACCTCCAAAGTAATTGGTGGTTTGACCCTCGGGGCCTGCAGACGCGCTCCCCCTCTCTGGACTGCATTGTCGCGTAATGGGGGGGAGGGTCGCTAAAACGTGTGCCGGCCTTTCGGGCTCGCCGTCCTGTGCTCCAGAGTCACTGCACAAGGAGAGCACGAGCGTCATGAACCCCGAGGGGTGGGTGGGACACCCGCTCGACCCCGTGGGGACGCTGTACGACACGCTCACCGAGGCCTGCCGCTCGGGGGATGAGCCGGGGGTCAGCGCCGACGGCTCCGGTGAGATTACTTTGTGTGTGCGTGTGTCTGTATCTGTGCCTGTGTCTTTCTTTGTGCGTGTTTGTTTGCCTGTTTGTCTTCATAGGTACTTGCTAACAGCGCTTGCCCCCCAACAGTCTGTTAAGATTATACGGGGGATCTTTGGCTTTTGTTTACCTCTCAATATCATTGTCTATTGACGTTTTGACTTACCGATTGGTCTTGATGTGTCAGGCTAAATGACTGATTGCCTACCTGTGTTTGCATGGGCCCTTCTGCCTGCCTGCTTGTCTACCTGTGTGGCTCTCTGCCTGCCTGCCTGTTTTCTGTCTGCCTGTGTGTATATTGTGGGGAGCGATAGTGTAGCGGTTAGCGCGCTGCGCTATGAACCCGGCGACACGGGTTCGATTCCCGCTCACGGCCAACACCGGTGACGATTATCTGAACCGGTCCCGGGCCTCCCCTAAGTCGACTCAGCCTCAAATGAGTACCTGGTGCGGTGTGTAAACATTGCCACTAGGGAGACAAAGGCGGTCGGGTGTGGTGCTGGCCACCCACCCCCTCGTGTACCGTTCCAGCCTTCATTAGGTGCTCGCTAATAGCACTTGCCCCTACAGTCTGTTCAGGCTATATGGGGGATCTTTGTGTGTGTATATGCACACACACGAATATTTTTGTCCATCCGTGTGTTGCCCGGACCGCCCTATAACCTGTCGCGTCCGCCGTCCCTCCCGTCAAAGCCTCTTCCAAGGCGCCGTCGTTCCACCACGTGCCGTTCCCCGGCGGGCGAGACGGCGAGTCGTACCTCACGCTGGCGCTGGAGGTGGCGCTGCTGGGCCTGGGGCAGCAGCGCTGCATGCCACCGGGCTCCGCCGCGCAGCGCCTGGCGTGCAGGCACGAGGAGCAGCTCATCGGACGCCTCGGGGAGCTCGCGCTGGACGAGCCCCTCGGGCGGGTCCTGCGACGCCAGGCGGAGCTGCAGCTCGACGGTTCGTGACGCGCGCCGCGTCACGGGGTGGGGGGGGGGGGGGCGCGTTTAGCGACGCGCACCGGTTGCATTCGGTTTTGACACTCGCGATGAGGGCATCGGGCTTTTATTCGCGTGACGGATCGATCGTTTTCGATCCCTACACATTGCATGTGGCGGGGTGCTACGTCGTAGGCAGTAGAGGACTCAAACAAATTCCATTGTTGTACTGTACTTCAATGTGCACGCATCTATGCTCGTTGCCTCCACCAACCCTCGTGCGACCAGCGAAGCATGGCCAAACCTACTCCCACGACCCACACGGTTCATGGAGGCACTCATCCAGCAGTGGATTAACAAAAGGGCTGTGGACGCAGAATGTCGTTTGTTCACGTGACGCATGGCAGCCACGAGCGGCGCGATGTTCACCGCAGTGTAAATAAGGAGATGGCTTCTTGACTCAAATTACGACCCTCAAATCTTGACAGCTCGTCAAATGACTGGGAGAAGGGTTTATCACCTATAGCTGGTACCATGCTCTGTGTAACGACTGTCCTGTGTAATTAGGCTGCGCAGCGAGCTTTTTTGTAACGAGCTGTGTGTGTGTGTGTGGGGCGCAGGAGGCCCGTACAGTGGCCTGGGTAAGGTGGTCCACAGGGAGAGTGTGCCCATGCACACCTACGCCAAGTTCCTCTTCTCTGCGCTACTGCCATGGGACGCCGAGCTCGCCTACTCCGTTGGCTTCCAGGCCATGAGGTACGCGCCCCCCTTCCCTTTTCTTCCCCCCTCCCCTCTTGGCATTGGCGTTGTTTCTGGGGTTTGGGGCTGAAGAGGAGACCCCTGGGAGAAGCGCTTTAGCCATGGCCCACGAGTCGTGTTTTTGGCCCGAGTTGCCGAATTGAGGCTGGGATTTTTTTTCCTTTCTGGCGCTCGCGCGAGCAGCATCGCTATCGCCGTTCTCCCCAACTCTGCCGCCGTGGGACGGTGTAAATCTGTCGCGGTTGCGGTCGTTGTGGAACGGACGGACCTGGGGGTTTGAACTCGTGACCGCCTGCTCGTAGTCGCCGTGAGCCTCCTCCGCATTAGTCACATTTCCTGCGCAGTATTTGATGTCGGTAGTTTGTTGCCGCGCGACAACGTCTACGGACGTTCCTCGTATCGGGGCGCTATATAAATGTGCTGTAAATCGTGGACGCGGCCTCTGCGGTGTAATGGTTCGTATGCTGGACCTTTAATCCAGAGGTCGCCGGTTCGGCTCCACCTCTCCCCGCGAGGGCACTTGAAACAACGGTGCAAGTTTCTTCAATCCTGCCCGCCCACCCGCCTCTGTCCACCCAGCAGTATAAACAGAAGCACCCACAATAATTTGACCTCCTTCCGAGACACGTCTAACCAGCGTGGAATCCAAAATTCCCTCCAGAGGGTGCTCTGTACGTCTCCCTTTCGGCAGAGGTCCGTCCGCCAGCAGTGGCGCGAGCGGGCGATTGCAGGGCTGCGCCTTTACCCCCGTTCCGTTTTCCCGTCGGTGTGAATGGTGATTGGTTACTGATGCAGAGCTGTTTGCCGGCAGGTTCCCGGCGCTGCTGTCCGCCCGCGACTCCAGCCCCCCTCCGCTGCTGCCCACGTGGCCCCTCCCCTGGGCCGTGCTCGACCACCTGGAGACGCAGCAGTGCGAGCTCGCGTCCACCATGCTCACCTCGGCCAAGGGTGCGTGAAGCTCAACCCCTCGCTGCCGCCGTTCCATCCTCACCTCTTCCCCCCCCCCCCCACACTCAACCCTCCCCTGTCAGTCTCAACCCTCGCCTATCACCCTTGCCGCCCGCCTACAGCGGGCCACACATTACCACCTCAGCGTTATCCAATAGTAACGCAGAAATAACGTGCGTGCGCCGAGCGAGTAAAGAGGCGCCCCCCGCACTGACAGACGTGACTGAGTGTGGTGCTAAGATTAGCGACGCTGCGTTGTGGCCAGGTTAAAAATATCCCCCCCCCCTCCCTGCACCCCCACCCTCTAATATCCGGTTAGTGCGGCTAAGATGCTTGCAGTGACGGATGAATATCATTTGCGGGCCCTTTAAAAGTGGGGGGCAGGCCTTACGTGGCCGTGGGCCTGTATGCAAAGGAAGTTGTTATCCACTTCCTTGCAGGGTATGCAAGGAAGCCATTGGATTCCCACCGGTGCTTTCGCCAGCGCGCCCAGTCTTCGGTCGTTGGTCGCCGGCGTTCAGTCGGCCTTCAGCCGGCGTTTGGCCAATGTTGGGTCGAGTCTTGGGAGTCCGGGCAAATGTTGAGCTGACGAGCCCGTGCTGGTGCGCAGGCGACATGCTGCGCGTGAGGATGGTGCTGCGGGCCATCAAGATGCACATGCGGTCCCCGCGTCTGCTCTTCCGCCTGGCGAAGGACGCGTTCAAGGTGTCCACGGAGGGGACGCGCGACAACCGCATGCTCGCGGTCGGCTTCTTCCTGGGGCGCACGGTACGCGCGCAACACACCACGAATACACACATGGTAACATAAACCATGCGGTACACACCACGGTACATACGCTATTGTACACGCACCATTATACACACCGCACAAAACACCACGATATATGGTACACGGCACAAGTGCTCCCACCACTTGTCACACGCACACATCACAGCACGCACACGGTAGTAACGCACACCACGTCACATTCGTACTGCATTACACTCGACAGCATGCAAACCGTGCCAAGGTAGGGGGGAGGCCTTCATCCAGCAGTGGATTGGCGGAGTGCTGTAAGTTGACGTTCTATTCCGTACTGGCATTCACCGAGGCTTAGGCCGGGGGTTGTGAGCGCGTGCGAGTGGACAAGTGCCGAGAGGGGGTTTACAGCTGGGCGCGCTCGCTTTGTGTCTTCTCAGTCGGCTCAGATGACCCTGCGATCGGCGAACTGGAGACGGCAGGAAATGGTGCGATGGGTGGTCACCGCTGCCACGGAAGTCGGTACGTCTTCAAACGGTGTGATGTGTTAATGTAATTTTTGTATGAACCCAGGTCCCCATTCGTGGTTCTCAGCTGGTTGAACGAAAAAATAAACTCTCCTTTTCAGATGTTTGACATTTATTTGAACAGAAGAGGAACTTAGAAACCCAAATGTATTTATCTAGTTCAGAGAGAGAGAGACACCTACCAGGTTTCCAATGAACTCTCTTACGCGAGGAAAGAGACGTTTATATATGAATACGTTTTTTTTGGTACATGTATATATAATGGATAAAAAAAACATTGCCCCTTCCAAAACACAGCCTACTCGCGAACAGGAATGACGTCCTCTATACTTCATCAAATAAATGTGCTTAGGACGCACAGAGTAAGATTTATGTAGAAGTAACCAAACGCCTGATGTATTTCATCCAATCGGAGACGTTATAATGATGATGCTATTGCTAAAACACACGTCGATCACTGCACCCGACGCCATTAGTGGCTGTTGCAGAACACAATTCGGTTTTGTAAAACCAGAAAAAACTTGCGCAAGTAATTTCAGGGACAAATTATTATTCCAATAAGTTGAGCTACTTCCCCGGAGAGCCCTCAAGTGCGAGACGCCACGTGGCCGGGCGAGCGCGTGACCGTGCGTGTCCTCGTCGTCGCGTGTCCCGCCGCCGGCAGGCATGGAGGCGCTGGTGAACCTCATGCAGAGCTGGCAGCAGTTCTTCACGCCCGTGGAGGCCACCACGATCGTGGCGCCGGCCATCACGTCGCACGGCCTGCGCTCGCACCAGCCGGGCCTGTGCCCCGAGTTCCCGCGGCACGCGGAGGAGCTGGCGGGGCTGGCCCGCGCGCTCGCCTTGGAGTGCGCGGTGCGCGACCCCGCCAACTGCGCCTACTCGGCGCTCACGCTGTGCGAGAGCGACCCCCGTGCCTTCGACGCCGCCTACCGCGTGGTGCTCGACTCGGCCGACAGCGGCGCCCTCGCCTGGCTGCAGCTCTTCACGGTGGCGCGCTTCATGGACCACCGCGGCTACCCGCTGCGCGCCTACAAGCTGGCGGCGCTGGCGCTCGCCCGCCTCTCCATCGCCCACAACCAGGACACGCACCCCGCCGTCAACGACGTGCTGTGGGCGTGCGCGCTCGCGCACTCGCTCGGCCGCAACGAGCTGGCCGCGATCATCCCGCTCGTCATCAAGGGCGTCGAGTGCCCGACGGTCCTCGCCGACGTCCTACGCCGCTGCACCATGGGCCCGCCCGGCATCCTGAGCCGGCGCCCGGCGTGCCCGAGGGGGTCCTCGACCGCCGCGGCCGCCGCCGTGGCGGCGTCGATGCCGCTCCCGGCGGAGCAACCGCCGCTGCGCCAGCTGTTGGAGACGACGCTGTCGGCGTACGTGCGCACGGCCCACTCGAGGCTGGCGCACATCTCCCCGCGGCACTACGCCGAGTTCGTGGACTTCCTGTGCAAGGCGCGCGAGGCGTTCTCCCTGTCGCCCGACGGGCACGTGCAGTTCGGCCGCTTCCTCGATGGCCTCAAGCAGACGTATAAGGGCAAGAAGAAGCTGATGCTGCTGGTGCGTGAGCGCTTTGGGTAGAAACTGTCGGGGGCTCCGGTCCTAGGGCCACGCGACCGCCGCCGCGTGCCAATGCCGGACGTGGCTTGGGTACAAAATGGCGAAAGACAAAATAGGATGATGATGATTTTGGACGACGTCTTGTGAGAACCACGAGTTGATATATATAAATATATATGTGTGTGTTTGCGTGAAACCGCACACCAATTGTAATTTGATGTGCAGGAGGCTGAACATGTTTTTTTTATTTGCACAGCGGAGAGTGATCATTGGTGATGTTTTCTTCTGTTTATACCCCCCCTCCCCACGAGCAAAGGTAAACATGAGCTCCCCTGGTATTGTTATGGCTGCCCTGATACGGATCCTCTCGGCTAGAACTTTAAGAAAACCAGAGCAAGGCCACCTCTAAACTTAAAACGCTCTCCCCGAGTAGAAACCGCTTGTTAAAAGCGTGTGCCACGTCGCCCGCTGCATTGTTCTTCGGAATTGAAATGGAGATTTTGTGTGGGATGAGCCAGAGAGAGCCGGGAAAACCTGCCTTAGTTCTGTCGCGATGCAGGGCGCACGCTCCTCGCACCCGAGTGTGCAAAAACAAAAGCACCAGTGGCAAGCATCAGTTTAAACAAACTGGGCAACGGCCGTGTCATGAGTGGCCTGCTTCTCCGGGAGGATCGTCCGTACTTCGTAGCCGCCGTGGCATCTCTCGTTCCGCCCCCCCCCCCCCCCCCCCCCCCCCGCCTGTTCTCGTGCTGCATTTTTCACGACCGGCGGAATGCCAAGCCGTGCTGGAGAGGTTCTCGGAACGGTTCGGCGGCTCGATCTTTATCCCGCACGGCTCTGTGGGCTTGACCCCTCCCTCTTCATCCCTCTCACGCTTCCCCTGCCCTTCCCCAGCCCTTCACAGCCGCACTGAAGTGATTGTAATTTTTTTTTTACAAGGCATACACGTATTCAGATACTGTATTATTTTTCATAATTTACACAAAAAACAGTCCTAAAATTTGACCTGAGAGAGGTCACTGAGCACTCGTGTCTTTCCCAAGTTGTGACCCTGCTTTTTCATGCTGACCCCGTGACGTCACGACTGGCGATGAAGGTGGCCTGGGGCAACACGGCGCAGCTCCATTGGAAAACATGCTTTGTTAAAACGAACAGCGCTGCCCGGTTAGCGCTGGCGTGGCCAGATGAGGCTGCCGTGGGTAATCTGGGCCGGGCCCACTAGCCCAGCACTCTTGCCACTGGTCGTGAGGACACGGGCATGGGAAGGGACCAGAGGATCGCCCCAGTCCCCCACTCACTGGGCGGTTGGCCTGCTCGCTGAAGCTTTCTGGCAGGATGACGGAATCGTCGATTTTTTGAGCGAGTTGTGCCGGGTGCTGTGGTGTGCCCCGTGAGGTGGGAAATCGCGCTCTCCTTCCCCGCAAACAACGATGAACAAAGCTCCTATGACTGTCGCCGCCTTCTCCTCATCCAGTGCGGGTGCTTGGGTATGTTTTTGCCATTGCCTGTTTTTAGAAGACCACAGGTGTGACATTTCTTGTCAATCCTTATTAAGAAAGCCTCGTGTACGCGTTTTTATTGTTGTTCCCTCTGCTTCCGCAGTCAACCAAGGGTTGTTTCGTACTTTCTGTTCCGCAAACGTCACACACAATCGTGCTTTCTTGGCGAGCCATTTCCGCTCCGTGTAAACAGTCGTGAGGAGGAATCTTTAAAAGTGATGTGCTTCATCCTCAGGGATATTTATAGATAACACGTTATATTCAAACGAGAGTGTTACCGTGTACATACGAACGATGCACAGCCACTATAGACACCTATTGCTGTATAGTATTAATATTATTTAATTTATGCCGTGAACGGTGAGTCGTGAATTTATATTGTTTTTTTTAATTGTAAACAATACTTGAATTTGTAGTGAATTAAGTTATGGATACATGACAACCAGGAGAACGGAGGTGAGTGAAGTCCTTACTTCTGCCGGAGAGGACAAAGGTTAGGCGCTATGCAGAACAGGCCCCAATGCGTGCTTTTTGTAAACTTACGTTTGGCTTTCACATTCTGTGCTTGTTAGAGGTAATTTAGAGGGATGATGGAAGTAGGAACATTTGCAGTGCTAGAGTACAATTGGGGGGGGGGGGATATCTTCGTCGGTGCATCCTAACGAGAATCGTTTTTTTCCGGTCGGGGGGGGGGGGGGGTGGGGGGCTTGCGGCTGCGACTTCGCAAAGAGCAGCAGCACGGGAAGCGAAAACACCCAACGGATTCTCACTCCTCACGTTCGTCCTGATACCTCGAGCTGCCCAAAATAGCTCCATTTCCTCACGTATTCCCCCCTTTTCCTTTAAGGACAACAATCACCTTGAAAGTAAAAAAAAATCCAAAACATTTGTAAGTTTTTGCTGCCTTTTTTTGTAAACATATACCCGGTTGTAAAGTTTGTGTGTGGAAAAAAAAGTATTTATTTTATTGTCTGTTTTGAAAGCAGTATTTGGTTTTAGTTCGCGTGGCCGGTTGTATAATTGAGCCGGCTCGAATTATTTGGTAACGTTGGGTCCACGCGATATGAAACTGGCTCTGTTGGAAGCTTTGCGTCAGGGGCCTGCAATTCTGTGTGAGGCCGAGCCCGGCAGGTGACATTGATAGCACCAGATGCGTCATTGTCCGCTTGGCCGTCGGCCCCCATTACAAACGGGAAGCGCCTCCAGGTCCGGGTGGCTCGCTGCAAAACGGGTTCCACCACGGGCTTGAGTGTGATTGAGAGCAGTGTTCATCTCGCCGGCATTTTAGTCTTAGTCTGGTCGAAGGCAACCTGTGGAATTATAGTCGAGCCTTCGTATAAGGATTTAATTTAGTAATGAAACAACAAAAACGCTGACAATGAAATCTACAAAGATGTGACGTTCTCAATCAACACTAATGAAGACCAAGGTCTGCGTGTCCCAAAGTGGTTTCTGATGTCGCCCCCGCAGTTCCTCGGTGCCCTATCCTGTCTGCGACCGATCACAGGTTTTGGTGGCCCATCTGACGAAACGGGTTGCGTTGTGGCAGCAGTTAATGGGGTACCAACCCTGCTTCGTGATGCTGCGGGGCTCTTCGAGAGGCCTGACGTTGCCACGTCATAGCACCCGTCGGCGATTGGGCTGCAAGTTCCCTCTGCACGGGCCTGAACCCCCCCTTTCTGTGTAACACGAGCCAGCGTTGAGCTGGTTCTGGGATGGAGGCCTTGGTTTCACAGCCGCAGCAAGCGGCCGCAGCTGTAAGTGGGGTGGAGTAACCAAACCTCACAGGAGTCGGCCCCTGTGCTCTCTCCTGCCATTTCCCACCATCGCCACACTCGTGGTGCTCTAAGCGCTATTAGGCCTGTAGCGCTGTTAGGACTAATAGCTTCTTGAACCCTTTTTTTCCATTGGCACATCCGAGCCCAGGCAGCGCAGGCCCCTCAAGGTTTACGGGTGGGTTTCCACTCGATATTAGCCGAGCCAAACCAAACCATAATATTTTGTCCTCACAAGACATTTGAATCTGGCTCAGGACTTAAGCAGGGTCCGGGCTTGGGCTAAAGATGCGTTAAGTACGCGTGACATCAGCGGCAACGGCTCTGCTTTAGCAGCTTACAACAACACGGCCACCTCCTGCACCACGCCGTGTTGGCTCTGCACGGCTCAGTTGTACAGTGAAAAATAAGTAGTCTCTTTATGTTGGGGTGGGGGAGGGAGAGTGATTTGTTTTCTGGAAAGTATGGCCCTTGCTTTGTCCGCCTCACTTTCACTCGTTGCCTCGGCCACATTGGCCAAGCGCGCAGGGCCTTTTAGTGACCACACAGGACTGCTGTGTAGTGTACAGCTCATACAGCTCAAACCTTGCAGCCGTGTGTCCACTTACTAGATAGCGTTCATGTCTTTTTGCTACCACGCAATTATTCGGTTGGTTAAAGCTGTACATAGGCAAATATTTTATATCTGGGACACCACTCATTTATTTAATAAAATGTTATGTTTTGATTTTTTGTGTGTTTTGCTTTTCTCTTGGTGGGTACGTGTGTGTGTGTCGGGGATAATGAGGTGAGGTTAATTGTCCGGCGAGATGATGCAACCACTTGTTTCAGAATACAAAGTTAATGTCGTCTTCGGGCGATTGGCCCTCAGGTGAAAACCAGGACGAGCCCTTGTTTTTTTTTGCAATAGATCTAATATTTCAATTGGCTATTGGCATCGAGGCTATGATCTGTCCCAGGAAAGCGAGGCCAACCCAGAAGAGTTTGGATTGACAAACCCAGTGGCTTGGATATAGGACTCAATGTGGAGAACTCCTTGCAAAAAACTGCCGAAGACGGCCCTGTGGCGTGTATGGGTATGCATCTCGTGGTCAACCCTTGGATCAAGGTACTCGAGGCTAGCGCCCCGTGTTGGAAAAATTGTCAAGGAATGTTAAATTGTATAACTAGTTCTGAAGTAACGTAGTGATCTATTTTTTTCTAGGAAACGAGTCGCACACATTGGGTATGCTTTGCACAATGTCACATCAAACCAAAACCTGTTCTCCATTCGCATCTTGAATTCGCGAAATGATATGAATATATTTTAGTAAAATTATATTCTTTGCCTGGTGGTTGCCAACCGTGAAAAGACCATCAACTCATGGGTGGTTGCTAGGGGCACCGACACGACCATTATGAACCTGCTCTGTCATCCAGCCCGTGACGGGCACCTGCTTTGATTAGACAGGACAGCCGGGCAACTTCAGGGTTATTTCCTCAAAACATTCTCCTCTGTTTCAGACAGGTGAGGGTATAAATGTACATGCACATTTCAATAGATTTGCAAGAACCATGCTCAACGCTAATGTTATGAAATCCAATACAAAGAGAACAGCCATGGTATTGACTTGTTCTTGGAATAAGTGTAAATAATACTCCTAATGCGGATTGTTCACCTGGGAAGCCTCGCTGAGTCACAACTTTTCACAAAATGCCTGCAAATGAACATCCTTTATTGTCAATCCACTGCTGGATGAAGGCCTCTCCTTGTCATGCGGGCACGTGGGTGTTGGTGTCTGGCCATACTTCATCACGTTAGTCATTGCCGGTTGGTGAAGGTGGAGGGGCATAGACGCGCGGGCATAGAAGTGCAGTATAACGATTGATTAAACTGCGCTGCCATCTGGCGTATTGTACTTGATTTATCTTGCATGCTCTGAATATACAGAACTTGTGCATAAACACAGGTGTCGCTTTTGTGGAACCTGTAGCGACCTAATTGCCTTTAAAGCAATGTACTGTGGCTCGCCACAGTACGACTCGCAACGCTGATCGGTGTGATTAAGCAACCGCGTCGTTTGGTGGCATAATCTCAGCAGGCGGGGTATATATATTTTTTTGGCTTGTGAACTTTGCAAGCAATAACAAGTCAAAGGCACCAAGGGGGAAAATGAAATATAAAACTGGGCACGATCTCAATTTGGCTCCCACTGTATGACTTGTATGGTCGTTTGAACGCTGTTTAATGTCTCCACCTCAAAACGAGACGAGGGCCCCATAAATAAAGAAGACTTCATCCGGTCGGCCTCTGATTATCTCGCTCTCTCTCTCGTTTCATGTCACTTCCAATCCTGATGTGCCCAGCTTGATTTTGACTCACTTTGTCCTTTTATTCCTGCTCTTTTGAAGGCAGCCTTTATAGTTGCAACCGTTTCATTATAAACACACCTTTGCATTTAATTTATTTTTTTTACTATCCGAGACGGATGCTCTTGATTTTTTTCCCTCCACGCTATCGTTTCACAGGTGGTTGCTTACAGCTACAGCTTTGACACTTTAAAATATAAACAGTCTGACCTCATAGATTTTAAGCGCTGCTTCAGGACAAAATGTATATTAAAAATAGATTTTGTCAAGGTGAGGAGGCCCTGTTTAAAGAAGGCTACTGTTGCACACTTTACATCCGCAGTGTTATAGACTACAGCGTTTGGAGCAGTGGCTAACACACTTTACTATAAACCTTTGCATTGTGAGTTCAGTTCCCTGCCACTGCTGTGCGTCAGTGGCGAGTGATATCTGAACCGATCACGGGCACCGCGTCCGCCAACATGAGATGTCCAAACTTGTGAAGTATGTAGGTATAAAATAAAATATACCTACGTGACTTTACCGAAAGAACCAAAGAATATGGATTCCTGCAATCACGAAAGCTTCAAATCAAGATTGAAGTATGGTCAAACAACCCCATTGGAGGCAGAGCCTGGGGGAGACATTTATTCAGGAATGGATTGAAATTGGCTGTAAATAGTTTAATTACAGCACGTGTCCTGCCCAAGCCAAATTTAATTGAAAGGTTTGAACAAAAATGCCTAACCTACGTAAGCCCATTCAACTCTACGTGTTCCTGTCTCGATGTGTTATTTAATGAGGTTAATATTCACAAAGAAGTAAATGCTACCGACGTGTCTGGCCACCCACGAGTTGAAATTGGGACATCGCAGTCGATCGGTAGGTGGCGTGTGGAGGGGTAAAGTGTGGGGACTCCAACTTCTTCCAAAGGCGTCTTCTGGTCAGCTGTGAAGAGTCGGGCAAGATACCCTTCAGTGATCTATTTCTGCGATCCAACCCAACAAAAACCCTGTATTATGGATATTGGTCGCAAAAGCCCACGTGTTAAACCATTCAGTGGCATAACCCATCAACTGCTAGGGCTACTCCCCCCTCCCCCAATGACCATCATCATCATCACACTTCAGTGGATCGATCATGGCTCACGATATTCCAATACATATTCTTGGTTCTTTCGGTAAAGTCACGTTGAAGAGAAACAATAAAAAATATATATAAAACTATTATTTTATTGTTTCCCTTCAACGTGACTTTACCGAAAGAACCAAGAATATGAATCGCTGCGGTCACGAAAGCTTTAAATCAAACTTCCAATACATATTAGGGAATTGCATCTTTACCAATGTGTTATCTGCCCCGTGTTACGCAACCTGCGTGCGTTGCTGTGCGGCCACCCTTTAATGAGTGCTACGTGTCAAGGACGAGGTACCAAGGTAAATTAACTCGTCACAACCGCCCCCTCCTGCCCCCTACACACACAGAGTAACATATATATTACTCTGTGTGTGTGTAGCCCTCCACGCGCACAGACGCCACAACTCCAAGTGCAGCTGTCGCCCGACGTGCCGAGGGGGATGTGGGGCGACCAGGGCCGGCTGGGGGCCTCCTCCGCCCCGGCGTCGTGGGGCTTCGTGGCGGCGGCGGCGGGAGCCGTCGGCGGCGCGGCGCTCCTCGTCAGGGCCGCCCTGGACCGGAGTCGCGGCCTCGAGTGGAGCCGCAGAGCCCGGGGCCCCCGAGACCGCAGGACCGAGGCCCGGGCAGGCCTGAGACGCGGCCTGGTGCGTGCATTGCGATCATCATGAGATGTTGTTTGTTGTGTGTGTGTTCTGTTGTTGTCAACAACGTCGACTTGCAAATGCGAACTCGCGCTTGGGAAGCGGCCGCGTCCCTACGCGGGTTCGTAGCGGTACGTTGAGTTGCGCTACGAACCCGGCGGCCCGAGTTCGATTCCAGCTCTCACGGCCAACGACCACTGACGACTACGTGAACCGGTAACCTGGGCCACCCCCTAGGTCGACTCGGCCTCAAATGAGTACCTGATGTAGCGGTGTGTAAACATCGCTACGCGGTCGGACGTGGTTGCTGGTCACCATCCCCCTCGTGTGTGTGTGTGTGGGGAGCGGTGGTGTAGCGGTTAGCGCTACGCTGCGCTATGAACTCGCCGACACGGGTTCGATTCCCGCTCACGGCCAACACCAGTGACGATTATCTGAACCGGTCCCGGGTCTCCCCTAGGTCGACTCAGCCTCAAATGAGTACCTAGTGCGGTGTGTAAACATTGTCACTAGGGAGACAAAGGCGGTCGGGCGTGGTGCTGGCCACCCACCCTCTCGTGTACCGTTCCGGCCTTCATAGGTGCTCGCTAACAGCACTTGCCCCTACAGTCTGTTAAGGCTATACAGGGGATGTTTGTCTTTGTGTGTGTGTACACGTGTGTGTGTGCAATCGTGGGGACTTCATTACGCCCCTTCCGACAGGCAAGCCAACATCATGACTCAAGGTATATTACTTAATTTAATATTTTATCTACTATACAGTATTTATTACCGTATTACATACAACATTTATTAATATTTACGAGTGTAACAACGCTTCACTTTATTGCTGGACCGTAGCACGTTTTACAACACTGACCGTACGTGTATTTACAATACGGTACATTATTGTGTTCCAAACTTACGAACTGTCCGACTTACGAACCAGCCACGTGCACTGAACCCCGTTCGTGAATCGAGGACTGCCCCTATACAGCATGCGGCGTACAACGAGCTCACACATCTTTCTGTACCAGAAGGACGCTAAAGCTGCAGTTAATTGGGTGGCAGTCGTCCTCCAACAACGGGCGGAGGAGCGGAGAAGCGACGCTCACAACAACGAGCGGAGCGCCGGGCGGATAAAACGCAGCGAGCTTTCAACGCTTCACGGGAAGTAAAGGTGCCACCTGGCCAGTGGCAACCCAATGCGTACGACTTTAATAGTAACCCCGGTTGCACAAATCGTCTTGTTGCAAGTGAGAGCATGTGGTGAGCGCTGTACTGCGCAACGGACCCGGCAAATTGAGTTCGATTCCGGAATATTTGAACCGGGCCCGGGACTGGGCCTCCCCTAGGTCGGCTCAGCCTCAAATGAGTACCTGGTGCGGTGTGTAAGACATCAGCATTGGGGAGCCAAAGGCGACCGGGAGTGGAGTTGACTTGCACACAACACACCCATGTGGTGTGCGTGCCGTGCCGGCCTTCATAGGTGGGATCTTTGTATATATATAGTATGTCAGCGTTATTCTATAAGACGTGCAGTAGGTACCAAGTGTTGTTCGTCAGCACGCAGAGACACAGACGTGGAGTGGGAATACAGACGTGGAGAGACATAGACACACAGATAAAACATAAAATTTATGGACGCAGACCTCGATGGCAGGCAAAGAGGGCATCTTATCGGCCCCGACATAAGTTTTGTCAATGTGGCACTGGTGCTGTTAACACAGCAGCTCTAATCCTATCCCAAACTCATACCTGTGAAGTCTCAAGGATTACCCTTGAGACGGATTTCTCACGATGTTGAGGGTCTCGCGCAGTCATTTGTGGAACAATCAACACCGCCCCCGTTTATTGCAGGGGCCCAGCAACTGCTCGCGATGGTTGAGGTCTCATGTAAGGGTCAGCTCCAGAAGTTGTTGTCTTTACCTGCAACCTTTCTACGAGAAAACAGCAGTAAACTAGTAACAATTATCCACGGTTGTTTCATTCACTATGGGGGTATTCACTCAGTTGCGTACATTAGCCCAATACTGCAATGCAAACTGATTTACTAAGAAGCCCTGTAAAAAACTATTTCGCCAAAAGTAGACTCACCCTTGCCTGTGAGACAGGTTTTTGTACCTCCGTTTCTTGAGAATCCCTCCGTTTCTTGTGGTTCACCCTGAATGTCTGGGTTCTTCCCAACGTTTTCATGGAAGGGTCTCGCCGATTTCAACCCTTTAGAGTCGACACGTATGCTAACCCCAGGTTATTTCCCCTATTTTTCCTAAACATAGTAACGGCACGCCCATTAGCACGCTCGTTACAACACCCCGTGAGCCCCAAAAAAGCAATCGTTGATTGGTGTGGCGATGATTTCCAGAGCTGCACGATGTTTTTTTCACTGCAGTGTTTCCTGCTGCAGGGCGCAAGCATTGGGGCCAAGGAGGAGATACTTGGGCTGTCCCTGCAAGAGCTGACCCAAAGGCTGCAGGACAACCAGCTGCTGCCCAGCGATGTCCTGCAGACATACCTGCTCAAGGTGCCTTCCTCGACTCATACATCTCGAATATGGGAAAACAGCATGGGCAACAGCCTAGAAATGCAGTGCTACCACAACAACAACCCCCCCACCCCTCCCACCAGCTGGCCCTGGTCTCACCGCCACTGGGCAATCTCGCTCCCCTCCGCTAGCCACGTTCACGCATTGTCTATCTTCTTCTACCTTGAGGGTCTATCCCTCGCGCATTCACGGCAACTCGCTCTTAACCAGATTGCTTTGTTCAGAGAAGGTTGGCTTGGCCAGTGCCGGCTGTTAGAGATGTGTTTTAAGCAGATTGTTTAGGGTGTTGCAGTTCCCCTAGTGGGGACCGCGCATCCCCTGGGAGGTCGTGCTTGGAGGCTGCACGGTGAAAATGAGAATTTGTTTTCGCTGGAGGCAATGTGCCCTTGATTGATGAGGTTGGGGTTGCAGTCGCAGCAGCCAATAATGGAGGAGTTCCTTGAGCAGAGCCTTTGGTTCATGTCTCCTGCATTGTTCACACAGTAGAATCGTCGACGCTAATAGTCGGAGCCCAAAAATATTTTTCAAAAATTAGTGGAAATTTGTATATCTTTCATTTTGTATGAGGCAGTAAATAAATAAAAACATGAAATTTTCTCACAAGGTTATGTCCAGAGAGGAGTTAAACGTATATTTACATTTTTTCTTCCGTCATCCATTTCTCAACACAGCTGTGAGCGGTTGTTTGGCCTTGTATTGAGTGCTGATCTTTGTGTGGGTGACTGCTGCCAGGCCCTGGAGGTGGATGAGAAGACCAACAGCGTTGTTCAGTTTCTTCCTGAAAGCCTCACACAGGCTCAGGCTCTGGAGAAAGTGAATGCCTCCAACCGGGGCCTCTTGCACGGGGTGCCGGTCAGCATCAAGGAGAACTTTGACATCCAGGTGACAGTGAGAAGCCTCTTCATGATGTGACTTCAATTAAAACTAGGGCTTCATTTTGGCCGGGTCTGCCTGAGTGGAATATTTGTACATCCGGCACACCACAGCCAGTATGATTTTACCTTTCGTAATTTGTTTACCTTTGTATAATTTGTTGACCTTTCTTGAACTTTGCACTACTATCATGTTTTTGTATTGTTTGTTGTTAGTTCTTATCTACCCCTACTGGACATCTGTGAAAAAGAGCTTTATAGCTCTTCGGATTCCTCCAGTATAAATAAATATTCTGATTCTGTATACCTCGTGCTATGACTGTGGCGACTTGTCACATTTCTACTCGAGGCTACCAGCGACCCAGAAAATATCCAGTGAAAAGTAAGCCCTGATGAAAGCCATGACTTCTGTAAGTGGAAAAATATTCTCACGTCATTTGAGATGTTTAGCATCCCTTGCATGTGACGTGTCGTGTTTTACCATTCTATTGTTGTTTTGTAATGTGTATTTAACGAGCAGTGTCAATGGTGGCTTTGTTATACGCCGGTCTTGCAAAACAGGATGTTACATCTGAGCCGTATATCCTGGCTGTAAGATTTAACTGCAGTGTCAATAAATCACAAAAGCTGCAAGCTGAAATGGCGATTAATATCGTATTTCTCAATTTGTATTTTTTGCAAAACTTCTGATTGTCTTGTGCAGGGCTGTTACTCGACCTGTGGTTTGATTTGCGGGGTGGAAAACCTTGCTGCAGAGGATTGTGTCATCGCAAAGGTTCTAAGGCACCAGGGTGCCGTGATATTTGCAAAGACAAATGTGCCACAGTCCTTGTTAAGGTAAACCTCTCAAATCCCACTTCATCCACAGTGGACAGACGTCTCTGTACACCAGGGGCCATGCCAGGATGTTATTTGTTTCTTTAAGCGAAGGCAGTAGGTCAAACTTTGGTATTTTCAGAGAGTGTGTTGCATCGCAGGCCATCTTACTGCCACAGACCCCTTACTGTGCTTTCCCTCATCTTGGCAATAAAGTGTAGGCATGCTGCACTGGGGAATGGTCTGACATTGTCTCTGTAAATAGAACATGCATCATGGTACAAAAGAGTGATCTTTCTTATCGGTGTGCAACGACTTGTGCGATTCTTTCAACAAACTGTGGCCACAGCTTTGAATGCAGTAACCCCATCTTCGGGCAGACGAGCCATCCGATGGATGCGACACGCTCACCGGGGGGGTCGTCTGGAGGAGAGGGGGCGCTCATCGGGGGTGGGGGCTCCATCCTGGGCATCGGCTCCGACATCGGAGGCAGCATCCGCATCCCGGCGTCATTCTGTGGGATCTGTGGCCTCAAGCCCACTGGGGGGCGGCTTAGGTACCACCCAGCTCACAGGATGTTTGTGCACGCTGTGTGCGTGCGTGTATGTGTGTGTGCGCGCGTGCACGTAAGAGGAGTGGTAGTGTCGCGGTTAGCGCGCTGTGCTTCGAATCCGGCGACCCGAGTTCAATTCCCGCTAACAGCCAACACCAGTGACGATTACCTGAACCGATCATGGGCATCCCCTAGGTCGACTCGGCCTCAAATGAGTACCCGGTGCGGTGTGTAAACATCGCTACTGGAGAGATGAGGTGGCCAGGCGTGGTGCTGGCCACCCACCCCCTCGTGTGCCATGCTGGCCTTCATAGGTGCTTGCTAACAGCACTTGCCCCAACAGTCTGTTCAGGCTATACGGGGGATCTTTGTCTTTGTGTATGTATGCGCGCTGAGTGTGTGTGTGTTTTTGTGGTTAACGCACTGCGCTATGAACCTGCCAAGCGGAATTCGATTCCCGCTCATGATTAACATTGGTGATGAATATCTGAACTGGCCCTGGGCCTCCTTTTGGGCCGATTTTAGCATGAACTGAGATCCTTGTGTGATGTGTAAACATCAGCACTGGGGAGACAATGGTGGCTGGGCATCCTGTTGGCCACACTGCCCTTTGTACCCCGAACTGACCTTTGTCTTGTGTCCACAAGTTGAGTGTGTATGCATAATCAGTGTAGGGTGCGATGCGCTGAGATATGAGACGTGGATGTGCTGTTGCAACAAGTGATCTTTTTTATGCCTTGTGCAGTGCATTGTTGTGTGTGACATGTGTCAAAAAAATGTTGTACGTTAAGTACAGAAGCACTGTGCATCCTAATCAGTCCAGTTTCATACTTGCGGTTTTTTTATCTCACTTTCCCGCAGTAACAAAGGCGGACAGTCTAGCATCTCCGGACAAAAAGGGGGTAAGAATGTTACATGTCTAGTTTATGTCTGTTTGGCCGTACGGTCTAAAGGCACCGTACACACTCGTTGAATTAGTTTTGCTTATTTTTTTTTTATTGTGCAGCCACATTCGTGCAGCAGTGATTGACTTACGCGTGTTCTGCTGTTGAGGTGTTTGGCTGCGCTGCACTCACGCTCCCAGCGAGACGCCACCTGAAAACAGGCCCGCCATCGTGAAACCGAGTGGCTCTGCACGACTACCGGGTGGAGCAGGCTAACGGCGCACGCGTTTCTCTGTTGCAGTGATACCTTCGGCAGGTCCAATAGCCCGCGACGTGGACGGTCTCGCCCTGTGCATGGAGGCACTCTTGTGTCCCAAACTGTTCGCCCTGGACCCAACCGTTCCCCCGCTTCCCTTTGATAGGAAGGTTGGTCGCAGTGTAATCTGCAGTATCAACGTGACACACACACAGGCGCAATCATGAGTATCTGTGTCGTCCAGGCATTGCCTGGGTCGGTTGATAGGCAGTACCTCTCCATGCCTTATCTTTGGTCTGTCTCTTATCACTCTCCAGTCCTGTCTCCAATTTCTTAGGTCCTCCACATCGTCGTGAGCATTGCCTTCCCACCTTTTCATTGGCCCTCCCACGTGGTGTGCTTCCTTCGATCCAATCTCAAAACACGATCTTGTAAATCAGATATAACTTTGCCTATCGGTTTGAGAAGTTACTCATTCCCCAAAATATACCCGGTGTTCTTTACTGGATTGTCTGAATTTTTCCCACCAGCTGCTTGGACCTTCGTCTCCTAGACTCTACTCTCTTAGTCTCTCCTATCGTTCACGTTTGCGCTGCATGTTAGTATGCCACACACACACACACACGTTCACATTTTCAAGTGTAACAACCGCGTGTAATTTGCATGTCATTTTGCACTCAGATTTATGAGAACAAGAGCCCAATGGTGGTTGGCTACTATGAGGGCGATGGGTTCATTCAGCCAAATCCCAGCATGAGGCGCTCTGTGCGCGAAGCCCGGGCGCTGCTGGAGAACAACGGCCACAAGGTTCGGTCTCAACGGGTTCCATCGATTCAGCAACCCAACCGTATTTCCATCAAAATTAGGACAATTAGAATATCAACAAAGACAAATAAAACCCCTTTATAGCCTTTTTAACGGACTGTTGGGGCAAGTGACGGTAGTGAACACCTATTTAAGGCCGGAAGGACACACGATTGGGTGGGTGGCCATCTCCATGCTTGGCCCCCTTTGTCTCACCAATTCTGATGTTGAGGCTGAGTAGAGCTAGAGGTGGCCCAGGACCGATTCAGTTATTCATCACCGATGTTGGAAGTGAGTGGGAATTGATCTCGGGTCACTGGGTTGGGAGCACAGCGTGCTGACCACGACACTGCTTCTCCCCACAATACATAATTTTAGACATGCACAAGTTCAGTTGGATAAAATGAATTTGCTATGTCAATTATTTATGTAAACTACTGTATTCCATTGTCCACCCAAAGGCAGGTCCATGGTATAAGCTCCCAACATCCCATCTAGTAATGGGTCAACCTAAATACTGTTGAAGACAGGGGAACCATCTCAGCTCTCCCTTGCATAGTAATGACTCAAGTACCCTAGGACACAGTGGTGACGTGAGGCAAGGCTTAATTGCTCACTGTATATTTTCTGGGTTACTGGTAGACTGGAGTAGGACTAGATACAGGACTGTGGGGGCTTGGTGACTAGGCCTAAATTAGGAAGTCAAGAAATATTTTCCGGGTCACTGACCTGGGCAAACCCAGCTGAAATGAAGCCCTGATGTTAGGTGAAGAGAGGAAATGGGATCGTATGAGATGGAGGCGGGAGCTTGAGTCAGGGTCATGCCCTTGGGCAGGCAACATGATAATAATTTTCCGGGAATATGGTGCACACACATGCATTTAAATATGTTGTGAATAACGGGATGTGCTTTTGCCGCGTGTGCAGTTGGTCCCGTTTGAGCCGCCACGCCTGGAATACTGCCTCACCGAGTTGGTCATGAAGGTGCTCTTCGCCGACGGTGCCGAAACGCTGCTCGGGAAGTTGTACGTAGAGCACGATGGGCCGTGGTGACACAAAGAGGAGGCGTGTGGAAGTGACCGGGTGGCTCTGAGGTTTAGAGCTTTGAGCTGGCACCTCTGAGATCCTGGGTCCGATTGCAGGCAGACTCGCAGGATTAATCTCGGTTCTCAACCTGGTCACCGGTGACTACACAATAAAGCCTTCGTATTTGGTGTTTTACACTTGATTTGGCTATTTTCCAGCTCTCAGAATTTAATATATCAGTTTGACTCACTGCAGAGTGGAAAATGTGCCTCCCACTGTGCAAATGATGAGGCCACTTGAAGGATTTTTCACAAGCAATCGTATACATTTTTTTATATTTCTACGCAGATAATTTTGAGTTGCTTTATGTTTCATTTTAGTGGTGTCTGTTCGCTGATGCGGGTGATTTAGTAACTGTGGTGCTTCTCGTTGTTTCCAGTGCTGGGGATGTGGTTGACCCTAACCTGCACTACCAAATAAGCATGTACCGGATACCAAAGCTTCTATCCTGGCTGCTCAGCGTGCTCACAAAACCCTTTGTAAGCGACTCGTTCCCGAATACTGCAATTTGAAAAGGTCGATAATGACGTCCCAATGTTGAAAATGCGGTCACCTTGCTGGTCGGGTCATGTATGTGAGCGTGTGTGTCTGCGTATTTGTGTCTCAGGCCCCAAGACAGTCCAAGGCACTTCGGATGCAGGGTGGAGTAAAGTGAGCAGACTTTATGGATTATTTTTTTTTATATCCACACAGAAAAATAATAAACCCACGTGGCCTCTTACTAGCACAGACCACATGCATTGAAATTTGCAAATAAAGCTGACTGACACTTTCTGTCACTACATCAATCTAATCTTTTTGTTTTTTTACAGAAATGTTGCAGCACTGTGGAAACTCCATGCAGCAATTGAGGTAGATTGATAGTGGCCGTGATGGTAAAACAGATCATGCTGCACTATGTTTAAAGAACACGGGTTCTTATCAACCTTGACTTTCCTTAGCTATCTTGAAATGTGCGTTGATAAGAAATACACAAATAAATGTCGCTTGGCACGGAAATTTGGAATGCACAATGGAAATAAGGGAAATATTCGACTGCTTTGTTTAAGTATAATCACAATGAGTTTTATAAAAAATAAAGCGCAGTATTTGGTTGCACTTTTCGAGATGTGCAGGCAGTAAGTCACGAATACCTGAGCGGTGTTTTCCTTTGATTTCTATTTACTTCAGTTTATTTGTTTTTACTTTTGTAATCTTGGTGAGCCAGGTTCACTTTGGAAAATGAGACTCTCATCCTGGTCTCTGTTGAGTTCTCACCCCTGGTTAAACAAAATAAACTTGAGCAACTTGAATACCAACGCAACCCGAAGGTCGTTTACAATCTGCGTTGTCGGTGGGGGCCTCTTCTTGGCAGGCGTACCGCACCGAGTTCATTTCGGCGTGGAGGGTGGCGGGGATAGAAGTGCTCCTGTGCCCGGCGCTGGGCCCCGCTCTAAAGATCGGCCACGGTGGAAAGCTCAGCGGTGAGGCCACCTCACGCCCCACCTCTCGATTCTCACTTGCACGCGAGCTTTGTTAATCTGCTGCTGGATGAATGCCTCCCCATTATTGTGTCGATTGTGGCAGGGGTTTGATCATACTTTACCACACTGGTTGGTATGGTTTGGTGTAGGTTGGAGGCCAGGGCTGGTTCGGATATCGCTATCCACCAATGTTAGTTTGACCTGGGGATCGCTGGGTTCATAGCGCACATTGGTTGGAGCTTGTGGAGTATAAAATGCAAATTTAAAAGCACTGTATAGCAACCAATTTAAACAAATGTTTCTTCAATACTCTGCGAGCAGTTATTTTAAATTACATGAAGTAAAAAAAATTATGAATAAAAAAATCGTATTTTGACAAATAAAAAATCTGACTTTCCCCCCGATCTAATAATGCACATGTTGCTTTTTTGCACAGCATAGCATATCTCGTTGAGATGCTTTATAAATTGACGTGTTGTTCAATGTTCAAATCTCTGTACAAAATAATGCTTTTTTTGATGAACCTTTGTGCTCTCTCTACCAGCGCTCACAGTCTTCCACATCTTGTACAACCTGCTGAATTTCCCGGCTGGCGTGGTTCCGATGGGGACGGTCACTGTGCAGGATGAGCAAGAACTCAGCGATTACCGAGGCCACTACGGGGATATCTGGGAAAAGGCCTTTCCCAAGGTTTGTGACAACTCCTACCCGCAGAGCCTGCACATTCTGCATTGCCCTGCCGTAACGTCTGCAAATGTGGTCCTTTATAGACATCTGAGCCATTTGCTTTGGGTATGCTTCATTTGGCAGGGTTGCTGTCAAGATGGTTGACGTGCTTTAGAAAGGAAAAAACCTGTTGGAAACATGATATTTTGTCAGCGCCCCCCCTCTCATCCCTACCCCCAACTGTTCTCTCTTCCAAGTTACTGAAAACCACATGGAATCCCCAATCCGACACCCACCAACACACCACATGGGTACCCCGGGCCCACCCCCTTATCCTTCAAACACCGTGCCACACAAGACCTCTCCCCCTCCTGCTTCACTCAAAAACCATCACTCGAGGAGCCCCCCCACCCCAGCACCCGGAGCGCTAAGCCACACCACATGGACCCCACGTGCTCACTCCTGCCGCCCCGTGTGCCCCTCCCTTCCGTGCGCGGCTGCAGGCGGTGGCTGGAGGGGTGGGCCTCCCACTCTCGGTGCAGTGCGTGGCCCTGCCCTGGCAGGAGGAGCAGTGTCTGCGTCTGATGCGGGAGGTGGAGAACGCCGCGCGCTCGTAGAGGAAGGGCCCACAGGGCCGTGATGCAACCTGTACAGGCTATATTAGGTACGGCATTGGCATAGTGACAACGTTCTATCTAAGCCAAAGAAAATAATAATTGTTTGTCCTGCCATGACTTTGAACTCGTGGAGCAATAAAATCAGCTCGTGTGCAGGTGCTATGTTCATCATTACATCGAAGGATCATGAGCGATGGCAGCAGCTTAGGGAAGCCTTCATCCACCAGTCGATTAACCATGGCTGATGATGAGCCGTGTAACGTATGGTCTGTTTGGAAGGTGCCAACCCAGTTGCCTAGTAGGAGGGGCAGCAGTAACCAGATTTGTCCAGATTTTGGCAACTAATTTTTTTCAGACAAATTGTGTGCCAATCGCTGCCAGTCATGATTGTTGGTGATGGTTGCCCAATAATTGCTGTACGGTATCTTGAGACAACTGTGGTCACACCACCGTATGTGATGAAGCTTAACAGAATGGCATGTTTGGACATACAGTAAAAGCTTGGATTGCGAGTAACTTGGTCTGCGAGTGTTTTGCAAGACGAGCAAATTTTTAAAATAAATTTTAATTTGAAAAACGAGCGAGGGTCTTGCAATACGAGTAGTACGTATACGCTTTGTCTGCCGAGCGTCACGTGATCACAACTGATATACGAGTGCTTTGATATACGAGTGCTTTGGATTACAAGCACGTTTCTGGAACGAATTATGCTCGCAATCCAAGGTTTTACTGTACATAGGAAACTACAATGACACTATATTATGATGGAGTTTATTTGTAAATTACTTTTACCTCTTACATGCAGTACAAGTAATCTAAAAATAAACATTCTTTAATGTTGTATTGAATGACCGTGGTTGCTGTGAATGCCTGTAAATGATAACTGTGGAGGCGACGGTTGGTAGATCACACAAATGTTGTGAATCTCCTTTTCCGTGTGCGTCAAGGTGCAATACCCTGGTTCGCCAGGAGAAGGCAGCTCAGCGAGTGGACTAATCGCCATCTGTTTCCATCTGTACGGAGATAGTGTTGGCCCCTCACGCACATGGGGTTTCTCCAGGTGCTCCGGTTTCTTCCAACGTGTATAAAAACATTCATTAGGTGGCTGAAAACATCTTGAAATAAACATTGAATTGCAGGATCCTTTTGAATAAGACCCATATGGCCCAGTTTGGCTTTCCTGGATAAATAAGTAAATTTTTATTCAGTGATGCAGCGATAAGAGTAGTGCATAATACGAAAGTAAGAATTTTTTTATCAGCGCCCCAAGTGATGTGTTATTTGTATTCATATCTTGAAATTAGGGAATAAATATTTGAAATGGTCAAATATTTGTATTCATTTATAGTGCAATCCTGTTTCTTATGATGTCAGTCAACACCGTTTTGACTGATTCTCAAAAAATAAATATAACCGATTTTATCCCATCACCACTAGGTTTCCGTGGTTGTGCTTTACGGATCTCCGATGTGTTTTTATGTTCTGCCATGTGTTCGCCACGATGTCCGACGTTTCAGCAGTTTTTAAAGAAACTCCCAGCACGTGGGGCGAAACAGCACACATCTTGCCGGAACAACACGTAGCACAACCAGATAACACATCTGAGAGCTAGTTAGTCCGTTCAGTTTAAACCGGTTTACCTGGCTGAATTTACACGGGAGTGGATATAATTTTCAAGACGCGACAAAGCAGCTTTCGCTTCTAAACGTGCAACTCCTATCCCTTTAAAATACTTGAAAAACCCATCAACAGCCACTGCAAGTGCAATCGTGACCACAATTGTCCATTGCAGACTCATCAAACTGATACATAGCAAGTACTGTAAACTAGTTGGCCTGTGGCTGCCTGCTGCATTATTACCTTAAATAACACAAAATCCAACCTCTGTAGGCCCTGCCTCCTTTTTATGCCCCACCCCCTTTACTCCATAAGCCCCACCCCATTTTGGCTCTGCGCCTTTCCTTTTTATGACCCGCCCCTTCTTCCTCAGACCCGCCCCTTCTTCAGGCTCCCCCCTTCCCCTGGACACGGGGCTTTGACGGGTTTGGGTTGTGGTTGGAGTTGTGGAAGATGGCGTGGGGGAGTGCACGGGCGCAGCAGTGGTGGTAGGGGTGTGCGGGGACGGTGAGGGTATGCGGTTGGCACAGTCGGGGGCACAGGTGGGTGCATCAGCCAGTCATCTCAGTCAACCCGTGGCACCTGGGTCTGTCCCACCGCGACCTGTCAGCGGGCGTTCGACACTTCACGTTGACTTAAAGTGCACTTAGCCTGGCACAAGCGCCGTGATGACGTCGTCGCCACCTAGTGGCGAATGGCGGTTGTTATGGATTGGGCCGGGTTCACGATCAATATCGCGCTTCGAGTGGCGATACGGTAGTGCGCGATGCATCACAGATGAGGCAATGTGCATCCTCACGCTGGGATGCGGTGACACGATTTAAAATAAGCACTTAATGAGAGACACCCATTCGCAAACTATGTAGAGTGCCGCCCTATCAAGTTGATCCCGTAATATAGAGAGTAACGCCTCTTATTTATTGTCCTCTGATCTGTGATTCATCCGTGGCCACAATCGATCTGTGAAAAGACCTTTTTGCGGCTGGAAATCCTCTCTGGAGCGGTGGCGCGATGGCTTATGAACCGTGAGAGAAGAGTTTGGTTCCCAGCCAATGCTAACATCATTGGAGAACGAGGTGCCCATTGAGCCCCCTGTCTTCACCCAACCCATATTGACCAGGGTGGTGAAGTGTGGCGTCAAAACAATCACCATGAGTGGCATGGCACGGGGAGACAATTCATGCAGGAGTGGATTTGACGAAACATTTTCTCCATTAACGTGGGTTTTTGTTGTAGCAGTTGTTGAAAAATTTAAATTCAGAATGGCCCAGAGTGCAACTGCGGTCATCAATCTCAAATCACTCGACCACATCGTGCGAAACGCCACACTGCCCGCTCCGATCATTCTCCGGCAGCATTCGTTTCACAAAATTCACGGAGAAACTCCCTTGAAGCCCGCGTGCATCACGTTGGACCGATGATCAACTTTCCCAACCGATGTTGTCCCCGAGGTGAGGACGTGGCGTCCTCTGGCGGCCACGCTGCGTCAATGTCTCATCTCCCCACTTTCCCTTGCCGCCGGGCCCGCTCAAAGACGTTTTAAATGCCACACCAACCCCCACACCGCTTTGGGGAAGTATCGAGTTTGAGACCAGGTTCATATGAGAAATTAGAGGGCACGGAAGTGGCTATGTTAATGTGAGAGATTAGCATTGAGTTTGAGACTAGGTTCATATTTGTTTGAGTTTGAGACCAGGTTCATATTTGCAGTTCCCTCTCCACGAATGCACCCAGGGTTAAATAAATAAACATATACGGCGCATCATTAAATATGTCCCTCCACATACAAGTAAAATTATTTTTATTAAATAATTTTTTTAAACATCCCATCCGCCGCACGGCCTTATTTTTGGGAGTGCCTCATTTCCACAACATTGGTTCACTACAAGCAAACTTGTCTCACTCGTTCCTTGCATATAAACATTTGGCCTGACCCTGCCGATGAGACAAATGTTGAAACCGGTTCAGAGTTTTTGCTTGCGTTGAACCAAATGCTGCTGCAATGATGCACTCCCAGTGTAAGGATAAAAAAAAAATCTTGACTTAAAGCTTTCGTGACTGCAGGAATTCATATTCTTTGGGTCTTTCGGTAAAGTCACGTAGATTAAAGGAAAATAACAAAAACTACGACGTTTCGATCGCAACACAAGCGGTCGTCTGCGTGATTGTTTTTACCCATTACTTTGTGAGTACGTAACGACGTCACCGCCAAGCGTAATGACGTCGATCAAGCGTGCAAAGCGTCATGACATCACGCGGTGGCGTGGTTACGCGGTGACGTCTCTCGAACGTGATTACGTCACGCACACATTAATATTAATACTGTATTGGTAATATTTAACCGCTCTTTAAGCACTGGACACTATTCCTTTCTACGCCCATGCAAATAGCCCGGTGTCGGTGGAGCAGAGTTTCGCGTTTGAAATAAGATTAAGAGAATGTTGAGATTTAATAAGGGGCTATTTAATGTGCCGCTGCACTCTGATGTTGTAGGAGAAAACATTTATGAAGTCTATTTAATTAAGTAGATCCTGTTTTCTATATTTATTTAAAGTTGCGCATTTTTGATGTGACGTCACATTTCTCAAACCCTCCCCCCCCCCGTCACAATCGTCACAAATGTCTGACCCCCCCCTCCCCCCTAGGTGCGTGACGTCATTTACGGACGGCCCCTAAGGGGCACGGGGGGGGTGACCAATAGGGTCTGAATTGTTCTGTAATAAGGAAGGGAACTTGATAAGGGCTTTGACAGCTATGACGTTTCACGCAAGGCGCGCGTGGCGTCGCGAGCACGTGGGTGGCAGGCGAAGGGGGCGACGTCCCCGGTTTAAATGCCCGAAGGAGAGGGCGGGGGCGGAGGGGGGGCGGGAGCGGGGGCAGGGGGGGGGAGCGGGGGCAGGGGGGGGGCGGGGGCAGGGGGGGGGGCGGGGGCAGGGGGGGGGCGGGGGGAGCGCCGAGCCGCTTGGGACGGATCGCGGCCGCGCGCTCCCCGAGTCGATTGTCGAGCCGCTCGAGCCCGGTCACAGAGGGTCGTGGGGGGCGGTGAGCGGCACGAGGTGAGCTGAGAGAGAGCTCAGGGGGGCCGGGATGGGTGGGTGGGGGCGCGTATGAGACGCGGGGTGGAGAGAGATCGGTAGAGAGAGGAGACGGGGGGGATAGGAGTGAGGGATGTAGCGCCACCTCGCATTGCCCCTCGCGCCCTCACCAGTCTGGTGTCTCCCCCTAGTGCACACTCGGTGTTCAAGCTCAGCTGCGAGGGGAGCTCCTGCTGACTTGTTACCCTGTTGACCTCTCGCTCGAATCTCGACCGTGATCCTCCCCGGCCGCATTTTCCTGAAGACTCCCTCGGCTAACCCGCAGCTCGCGACCCTTCTCCACCGGCCTGACAACCCCCGCCTGCTCGTCCCGTCTCCACCTCGGCCACCCCCCCGGAGCGATGAGCAGCAGGACGTGGCCCGGCCTGGCTCGCTTCTTCGCATCGCCGCTGCGGGCCTCGCTCTCGCAGCGGGCCCCGCGGCTCGCCTGCCCGGCGGCCCGCGGGGCCCGCAGCGAGAGCGGCCAGGCGGCACGGCACGACGGCCCCCGGCCGTGGCTGAGCTGCGAGTCCCCGCGGGTCGAGGCGCTGGTGCAGGGGGACGTGGAGGTGAGCGAGGAGTTCGTGAGCGAGGAGGAGGAGCGGCTGCTCGTTAAGGACGTGGAGCCGACCCTGCGCAGGCTCAAGTATCAGTTCGACCACTGGGACCACGTGAGAATTATTCGACGGCTCCATTCTCGCCCCCACCCCGCGCTAATCACTAACATCGGCAGAGTTATTATTTGATAATTATCGGATCACCAGGAAGGCGCCCCAAGTCGTAAGCTAAGCGGGGTTGAACCTGGATAGTGCTTGGATGGGTACAGTACCACCCCACCGTGCACGCCAGGTTATCCAAGGCGGCTGCGTGGCTACGTTTTTGGACAGCAGAGGGCAGTACAGCAAAAGCCATTGCAGTATTCCCATGTACCCATCTAAATGCTAAGCTTGTGTTTAGCTTCTGTGCGCCTCGCCGCCTTTTAGAAAGTGTCACTGACCGCGTGGTAAAGTATTGTAAAATACCCAATAGAACCAAAGAGTATGGATCCTAGCAGTCACGAAAGCTTTACATCTAGTATTGTAAAATAACCCCCACGGCCATCCAGCGGTGGAGTGTAAAAATCCTTGCACTAGCCCTAGTTCACCACTTGTTACGGTTGGGTCAAAAGTGATAGTTCCTGCTCAAATGATAATTGAAAGGTAGTTTTCACCCCATTTACAGTCGAGTCAGTGGTGGACATTCCACATTCCTATGGCAGGGGCTAGTCCTTAGGGAAATTGGTATTTATATGATCTTCTGATTGTGAGCTGCTCGCTCAACCGGGCAGGTTTATAAATTATGATTTCATATAGCCGATGAAGAACGACTATTAGAGATTCAGTCGTAATTGATTTAGCCATGCAATTGCTTTGTCTGAGAGTCTATGATTGAGCCCGAACGCTTTCCCATCCGTCCCAACAGGCGATACACGGATACCGCGAGACGGAGACCCGCCGCTGGGGGGAGGGAAACCGGGCCACGCTAGCGCGAGTGCTCGCCAGGGCCTTCCCACCGGGTACCGAGGTCATGCCACTCACACACGTGCTCGACCTGGACGCAGCCGGGTTTATCCGCCCCCACGTGGACAGCGTCAAGGTGGGGCCCACATCAACCTCCCCCGCGATAGCGCAGACCTACAAGGACACATCCATCTACAGCTTTACACCAGAGCCGACTGTAGCCGTGTGTTATACATCTCCTGCTCCTTACCGGAGTCATGTTGTACTGCGGATGTCCGCATCTGTAGGACAGAGCGATTTGCAGCAGTGTGTGTTACATTAATCGGAGTCAACATTGAGTCAGTTGGATTCAGGATATATCTACAGCAGTGTGGAATAGGCAATTGTCGCCTAGAAGGGAAATAATACAATTCTCACGACGTTTCAGCCACAACACAAGCAGCCATCCTCAGGTTAAGAACAGAGCTGTCGGAAAGACAGCGTCCTAATTTCCGACAGCTCTGTTCTTCACCTGAGGACGGCTGCTTGTGTTGTGGCCGAAACGTCGTGAGAATTTTATTTTTTAGGATTTTATTATTTCCCTTCTACGTGACTTTACCGAAAGATCCAAAAATATGAATCCCTGCAGTCACGAAAGCTTTAAATGGAAAAATTTGCGCCTAGTTGATTACAAGTGGGCAGTAATGTAGATTAATGTAGGTGTTCACAACAATGTGCAGGCTCATGTACTGTAGACTAAATAGGCTGTCGACCAAGTCAATTGTCTGCAGACTTAGTACTGTACACATCCAGTGTAGCTTTACTGCAACCTGCATAAGACCGGACATCTGCAGCAATTTTCAAAACTAATTGTCTGCACTAGTGTACCACAATATAGGTGTCCACCTGATCATAACCCCATACATGAAACGCTGGTTGAGTTGTGCTGCCATTGCACGTCTGCAGTTTTGCGGGAGCATCATCGCAGGACTCAGCCTCTTGTCGGCCAGTGTGATGCGCTTCGTGCACGAGCAGGACCCCACCATCAGGGTCGATGTGCTGTTGAAGCCACGCTCCCTCTACATCATCAGGTGTGTGCCACACCTCCTCGCGCCCCTATCCCCCTGCTGTGCGCTCTGCACCATCCCGGTTCGTGTGGTATGCACAGTTCTTCACGCAAACGCGTTGCTGCCCTTTCTCAATCTGCTGCTGGCAGAGGACGGGTTCGTTACGAGTTCACGCATGAGATTCTCAAGGACGAGGAGTCATTGTTCCGGGGCGAACGCGTTCCCCGTGGTCGCCGCGTGGCAGTCATCAGCCGGAACGTCCCCGAAGAGGAGCAGCTCGCCTGAGCCTGGGCAGTGCGGATTCTGGCCGTACGGAAAAATCCTATTGCCTGGAGGTGGCATTCGAACTTGGGAGGAACGTGTACGTGACCTCAGCTTTTTATTGGAGACACTTTATGGCTACGTACAAAACAGCATCACATGGCATCGTCAAATGAGCAGTACAAAATATTGAGCGCATTTCTGTATATAATAAAAAAGTAAGATTTACAGGACTTATGATGTTGAATAGCAGCCTTATATTCGATGTTCACAGCCACACGTGCTCCGTGCAATTGCAGTCTTTACCACACGTGCCTTGATGGCTACAGTATCGCTTAAATGTTTCGTCAGTGGATTTGCATCACTGCGCTTTCATCCTAGCACCCAGCAGCAGATCTAGGTGAAGGTCAGGGTGCCATTTCCCAGGAGGAGAGCAGGCGCCCCGTGCTGCCGGACAAACGGAGGTCACGCGGTGGATCGCGGCTCGTGCGAGCGATGGTGGAAGGTGAAGGTGACGGCGGCGTCCCAGGCGGCAGTGAGCACGCGGTCCTGCAGGTGCCGCTTGTCGCCGCTGTGGTGCCACTGAGACAGGTTGCTGGTGCAGTCCGTGCCCTCCGCCGGCGGGCGTACCTGGATCCCGTTCACGCAGCGCCGGCACTTGAACCTGGAAATCAACACAGGCACGTTTAAAATGATCGCTTGTTCACGATTCCGACCATGTTAGACAACTTAAGGTTTGTGAAAAAACTGCTTGGGACCCATGTGCCCAAGTGAGATAATAATGAAGGAAATTATATAGTTAACTCACAGTTATCTGTGAGGATTAACCATGCTTGAGAAAAAGGTATCTGAGCCACTCCTTCCCATTACCCCAGATAATGAGCATTTGACTGTAATCTTTATTTGTGTAATAAATGAGTATTGCGAGAAGTACCCTTTGGATTTTATTTTCAAACTCGAGGCCGTATGATTTGATAGTTGAAAGTGCAAGGTAGCTGGCAAGCAAAGGGCTGCTGTGGAGCGCTTTGCTGCCAAAGCGCTCCACAGCAGCGTGTGCGAGTTGTCTGCGCCATACTTGTCGTGCGTGTCGCTGTTGGTGCTCTCATTAAGCAGGAAGAGCTCGCGCAGCTCAACCAGGGAGAAGTGGCGCTCCACGTCACGCTCCTCGTCCACCACGCAGCTGCTCAGCGCCTTCTTGTGTGTCTGCCGCTGCAGGATCTTCTCCTCTATCGTCCCCGTCTGTCGCACACAAAACGACAAACATCCCCCGGGTAGCCGTTTAGACTGCTGTGGAGAAAGTGCCATTGGTAGGCACCAATTAAGGCCGGCGTGGCGTATGAGGGAGGTGGTGTTGCCAGCACCACAACCAATCGCTTTTAATTGCAACAGCACAGATGTTTATACACTGCACCAGGTACCACATTATAAAAAATGTATATGTACCTGACAAGTGGCCATTGCCAGAAATGTCAGGCTATCCTGTTATAAGGCAGTGTTAATTGTAATTGTGTTGAGTCAAAATGTTTCTTTATTTGCCATAGCATCCTCTCGAACAGTATATCAAAAACCAGTGATATACAAACGTGTAACTGTCATGGTACATGTGCATCAACTTAATGAATTATGGGTCCCACTGCAAGGAATTAAATAGGGGAACCTGTCCAATTTTACCCCTCTTCGTGGCCTGGCACCTTGACCCCTGTTGCCCGTGGGCTCCAAGTGCAGTTGCACTGCCTGCACACCCGTGACTTACGCCACTGGTCTGGTACAGCGCCCATGTAGGACTCACGGAGACAAGGCGGTAGATGTAGCAGCTCTTGCGCTGGCCGTCGCGCCACACGCGTGCCATGGCCTGCTCGTCGTTAGCCGGGTTCCAGTCGGGGTCGAACATCACGAGGCGGTTGGCGCCGATCAGATTCAGCCCGCAGCCACCCGCCTTGCTGCTCAGCATGAACACGAACTCCGGGCTCTGTGCAGGCAGTGGAAACACCCACCAACAAGTAAAGACGAACACTTCCCGTACAGCCATACAGACTGCAGGGTATTTATGGCTGTGCAATATAACTCTGATATGTTTTCGGTTATCTCGCTTGTTTGGCACGATGAACCAGAAAACACATTGGAGAGATAGCCACATAGTGTTGGGGGAACTGTTGTTAGCAAGCAGCAATGAAAGTCATCATGGTGCACGAGGTGGTAGACGGCGAAGCACCATGCCCGACCACCTTTATCTCTCCAGTGCCGAGTTTTACCCATCACAACAGGTACTCGAATAAGGCCAAGTCAAGCAAGAGGAGGTCCAAGACGGGTTCAGATATCACTCGTCACAGATGTTGGCAGTAGCAAGGAATTGAACTCTGGGACACCAGTGGAATTGAACTCGGGGGCACCAGTTTTGTAGTGCAATGCGCCAACCACTGCATTACTGCTCCTCTAGAATTGATGCATGAATTGCCAGAGACCAACAAATGGACGTAGACATTTGTGAGGTCATGCACTCAAAAGTACAACAATAAAACTTGATTACACCCAGCATTAAAAGGATTAAGCAGTCACCCACCGATGAGTTGTTGAATTGATCCACAACCTTTGCCCGCTTCTTTATGGACATGCTCCCATCCAGTCGCACGTACAAGTAGCTTAAATGCACAAAACATTTGCATTAACACGTGTGCAATTAATTTACTTGCCCATTGCTGTATTAGATCACTATTCTAACCCCTGGCTCGTGGATGTGCGTGGCACGACCATCCCTGGCCATTTGCACTGCTGAGAACCTCTTCTGCTCTCCGAAATGCCTTCATCTGGACATTCACCATATTGGCACCTTTCCCTCCGCCTTTCATTCATTTGAAATAAAAAATGGCACATTCGATATATTACGTGGTTTCATATTTCTGTTATGCTTTCACTATTACCAGTCTAATGCTTCACCAGTTCTGTAAAATATTTTTTTGCCGAGACCTCAAGTTTTGGCGCCTGATAAATAAACATTGGCTGTGATGAAACAATTCTGAACAAAAAAAAGATCCCTCTTCTCAAAATCCTCACGACATGCACATGCTCACCCCCGCTCCCCTTTTTAATTGTACGGCTTCGAGACACGCAGATGGATTTAGGCGCTGTAGAAATCCCCAATTTGTACCGGACTGGTGCCTGCCGGGCTTTGTCCTCACCTCCTGGCCCGGCACAGCCGCTCAAAGAGGTCAAGGGTCTGCGTGTAGTTGGAGACGAGCACCACCTTGTCGCTCGTGGTGGATCGCGTCACGGCCAGGATGTAATCCAGCACCAGCATCTTCCCTGCGGCACACGGTCACCACCCATTGTTTAAAACCAGGCAGACGCATTGCAGCTGTGGGCTGCTTCCACACGGGAGCAATGCAGCATTTTTGTAAGGAGACGATTCTTGGGTTCCTACACGACACAGGTAACTGTCTATACAAGCAATGGTGGCCACGTTGTTTTGATCCTGGATACAAGACGAGTGTGACAGTGCAGTGTGGGAGCATACGCCGAGATAGCGAATAGCAGCTCCCCCTTTCTGTCAATCTACACGAGTAAAAAACAATCTTGCTAAAATAAGATAAATAATACAAGGCCAGCCCTTGTTTATTTCATAGGCGACTGAGCTCTAATTAGAATCTGCTGCTGAAAACTCATCCACCAGAAGGCGACAATGAGCTCGCGTCACCTGAGAGTTGTGGCTCCAGGAGCTTGGGGTTGTACCCGGAAGGGAAGAGCTCCAGGGCCCCCTCGAAGCCCTCCTCTCCCTCCACACACTTGTCAAAGATCAGAGATGGGTCTGCGTGCAATAAACAAAACTCGCAATCTCGGGATTCTCTTTAAACTTGCCGACAACAGCCGCGATGCGTACCGCCAACGTGCAGACCTCCAATACGGCATCTGGTGGGAACCTCGCGTGCACGTGGGGATTGCGACAGCGAAGAACTCACGGTTGCACAACTTCTTGAGCTGCGTAATGGAGGAGAGGGAGGACGCGCTTATGGTGCCGTTCTTTGCCGTGCTCAGCTCGCTCGCCGTCTTGTTCTGTCGCAGGAACAGCTTGTAGAGCCCCGCTTGCAGCGCCGTCAGCCTGTGACGGGCAGCACGCGGCGTCATCACACCGGCACGTTGGCACCCGTACCCGTGCAACTGTTTTTTGTCGGCTCTCCTACGTATTTCTGGGTTGTAACGCGTGATATATATGGCACGATGGCTATTGTTTTGCTCCACGTTCCGCGAGCTACTTCAGAAACAGAATTGTTCCTCCATGTGTTGGGAGCATCTCCAGGAACTGAAGTTACCTGGCACTTAGAATGAAATATTGGACATTTCACCGAACAACACACAACACAACCCAAAAACACATTGGAGAGCTACACAGGACAGCTATGAAAAACTACACATTAAAAACAAGTTTATATTTTCCAACTTGGAGAAATGTCTTCGGGTGAAACTATCAAAACAATCCTTATATGATAGCACTCGGTAAGATGTGGCATCACGCACCTGCAGCAGACCACTTGCTCTATTTTGACGGGAAGGTATTTGGATAGAATATCCGATGTCCGCCTTATGAGACACCTGAAATAGAAACGCACAAACCTCCGCACACAGAACCGGCTTTGCACAAATGTGGAGGTGCGAGGGGGCAGCTCACAAGCCTGGGGAGGTGCGGATCATCCGAGCACCGCATACCGATTCACAATGCCAATCAGCTCCTGCAGCCGCTCTTCTCCGCGCCGCTTTAAAGCGTCGGTCGCATCGGCGTCACGACCCTTCAGGATCGGGAGTTCAAACTTCTTCTTGAACTCCTGCGCCGTTCCTGTGTCAAAAACACCAGACAGCACATCCGTGGGATCAAAAGCCTCTCAGTCGTGAAGGACATTCTGGTAGTTGTAAAACCAGGGAGAGACGATAAGGTTCGCTGGGACCCATTAAGCCCGAGTCACGTGAACACACGGCGTGTTATTCAGGGGGACTACGCCTTACAAGTATGTCTTGTTCAGCCAGGTCCATGGCTGAGCAATCAAGTCATTCAGCTGCAGTTGAATGCAGCTGAATGAATGGTGCATTGCGTGTGGCTGTCCCTGCAACAGGTTTCTTACGTACTGTCGTGACAGAAGAGACCTGCAGTGACGTATTTCATCACATGCACACTTGCGATACGCCGTTTAGTTTTCTTGTTGTGCAGCTACTCGCTCGGGTGCCAACCCAT